AGCTCTCTCTCCTCAGGGTGGTAGCTAACAGTTCTGAAAGCAGCATATCTGTAATCTGGAACAGAGTAATGAATTAAATAAATGGCAGGTGGTGAGAATCGGGCTTCTCGCTGTTGGAGTAGAAAGTTACAAATCAGCAAAGGGAAAAGATCACAATATCCATGTGGTGGTGGATCGGGTTGAGGAAATCAGCATAAACTCATCTTTAGCTTAATATGGATACAGACAGTTCAACATAATTAGGTTAGAATATACGCATAGATTCCGTGCATCGTCCACTGAGCACATTTAGCTCGCGCCACCCAGGGATCCCGTAAGTTTTTAATTCCATTCTCTAAAAAAAGGAGCCAAGGCTCCTGGAAGAAATTACTGAAACTAGGATTGAGACAGTAAATATAGGAGTCAAGATAATCTTAAAGTATCAGAAAGCAAGGAAGTACCAAGAAAAACCCCACAAAGATGAAATGGTGTCAATGGAAAACAGGAGCCAATGGGAAACACTCTGAACAACCAACACAGGAATGAACCAGCGATCAAATGCTGGAGTGCTGGAGTGTAACCGACAGCCTAAAATGACTATGCTGGTGTCCACAGGGGTAAAAAAATAAATTATTTCATTTTTTAAGATTTCTTAATTTGAGAGAGATAGAGAGAAATTGAGATAGAGCAGGGGAAGGGGCAGAGGGAGATGGAGAGAGAAACCAAAAGTCAGACGCTTAGCCAACTCTGCCCCCCAGGCACCCCCAAAATAAATGATTTCTTAAAAAGAAAACCACAGGCCCCAGATGGAGTCACTTATGTTAAGAGACCCCTGTTAGCAAATCAGGGCATAATACCTAACCTAATTGCAATTTCACACACACCCATCTCCATGTAAACTTTTAACAAGTCAATTTGGAAAATGTACTGAATGTCCCCTTCTGTTCCCCTTAGGAGGAGGACCTTGACTAAAATAATGCATCCTTTTCTAACAATTTCCTTTTTTCAATCCCCTCCCTTCCTTTAAAAACTTTCCCTTCCCTGCAGCTCAAAGGAGCTCCTTTCTATTTGCTAGATGGGGTGTTGCCCAACTAATGAACTGCTCAATGAAGCCATTGAAATCTTTTAAATTATTCAGCTGCACTTTTTACATAGTTTTTTTAATTTTTTTTTTTTTTTTACAAAATAGGACTGAATAGACCTTTCCTATAAGAATTCCAAATAATAGATGTAGACAGTCATCGAGGAGGTAGGGCTATCTCCCCTCTCCCAAAGTGTGGGCTCCGTGCAGCGTCTCCCTGCTCCAGAAGACACACTGTACGCGTACGGGGGAAAGAGTAACTCCTCTCTGGGGAAGCCTGACCAACACTGCCCCGGCCAGGGGACCACTGTTAACACGGACAGCAACAAGCGCTCCCTTGTTATAAAGTGATGACGGAGCGCTTTACCTCCCCGATCTGCTTCCTCAAAACCCATAATCCCGGTCTAATCATGAGGAAAATAAATTCCAATGCAAGACTTTCTACAAAATGCCTCCCCAGGCCTCCTCAGCACTGCCAAGGTCATCGAAACAAAGCACATCTGAGAGACTGTTAGAGCCAAGAAGAGTCCAAAGAGACATGAGCAGGAAAGGGGCACTGGAACAGAAGGTAGAACAGAGGGAACCTGAATAAAATATGGACTTTAGTTAAAAATAACATATCAATGTCCGTTCATTGTGACAATTCTATAGAAAACTAGAAAGAAATTAAACGTCAAATGGAAGAAAAACCTATCATAACGAACAGGAAACCGCGGGTGACTTCCTAGTAAAAATACACACTGACAGACTGGACCCTAAAAAAAGGAAAAACCAAGCTGACCAATTAGCCATCCAGTGGCCTCTTCCTCCTGCTGGTTCTCCTCTTGCTGCTTGATGCTTGGGGGTTTTCCTCCTCGGGGGTATTCCTCTCCCAAGACAGGGAAGGGACAGGGGCAGGGCTGTTCTGCAGCCCCCCCCCCCCCCGAGACCTGACTCCACTCACCGTCTCCCTCTTCCGGACCATGGCCTCGCCCCATGAGGACACTGGGCACAGGGAGTCTCAGGGATTGCTGCTCCTGATATGTCAGCTGGGAATTTTGGGGTTGAAAGGAACTGGACACACTTACCGAAGTAAAATAAATATTTTTAAGTGGTGGAAAAGAATGCTTTCAAGAGGCAAGTTAAGAGTGGGTTTGGACCTGGCAGGCCCAGGGGCTCACGCTCTCACAATATGACCTGAGCCATCTCCAACCTTCCAACCTGCTGAGTGCTCTGGGGTGGCCCCATTCACAGACACAGTCTCTCTCACTGCATCTGGGGCCTCCAACAACTCCAGGCTGACACCCACTCAGTGTCCACTCTACAGGGAAGGGTTTCTCTTTCTCTTGGGTTCCATGAAAAGTCACGGTTTTAAGTGTCTTTGACCTGGCTTCAGTCACATTCTCATCCTTGAAGTCACCAAAGCACCCAAAGGATGGAGCAAGGGGTTGGCTAGACTTAGATCATATGCCCATCTTCAAGGCGGATGGAATGTGGGGTCTGCCCCCCTGGAACTGTTTGGATGGGAGGCAGGTGAGATGTGGTTTCCAAAGGAGAGCTGAGATCCTGGATGTGGATGTGAGAACAGATTCTGGGCTGGGAAAGCAGCGGATTACACATTACTGATGGCCAACGGCAGAGCGGGGAAAAATAAAACCCAGGGAAGGAAGGGGTTCACTTAGGATCATGGGTTGCAGCCACCCATCCAACGCTCTTCCTGTCCTGTCATGATGGCAAGATGCTCTTCCACTTGCTGAAGAAGCAACTATGCCATTGTTGGGAATGGAAATTTCCCAGGGGGCTGTCTACACTAACCATGGACCTGTTACAGTGCCAGGAGCAGTCCGCTTAGTAACTGGCCATGGGGATTGTCAAGACCCAGGCTGGTCTGAGCTGGAGGATCACAGATCCTGCCTGGAGGGTTAGAGACCAAGACTGTCCTTCTGAGACCTGACTATCTACTACTGATCACTCAGATGGGATGAAATCCAACCAGTGCCAGGAGGGCCCACCAGCCCCCAAGGAGGCTACACAGGGGAGCAGGTAGGCCCCTGAAACCAGACCTGTATCAATCCACGCATCTAATGACCCTTGTGGGTCAGGGCTGTGCTAGAACCTGAGGCTTCACAGGCAGAGTGGGGCCGGTGGCACCCTTCCCAGGTAGGAGAGTGGAAGGACTCTGCATGATCTGTGACCTTCCAAAATCCTTGACTGTGGTTGAGTTGGAATTGAAATAATCAGTGACCAGGTAGATATTTCACTCATCTTTTATTTTTTTATTTTATTTGATTTTTTTAAAAAAAGATTTTACTTATTCATGAGAGACAGAGAGACAGAGAGAGAGAGGCAGACACAGGCGGAGGGAGAAGCAGGCCCCCTGCAGGGAGCCCGACGTGGGACTCCATTGGGGACCCCGGGGTCACGCCCTGGGCCAAGGCAGATGCTCATCGCTGGGCCACCAGGGGGTCCCTAACTGTCTTTTAGAGCCCAACGTGAGAAGCAAGAAAGCAACACTCTAGCTCAACGTCTAGTGCACGTGTGGCCACAGGCGAGTCCTGCGAGTCCTAGCGGCTCATAGGCGTAGAGGAGAAAGAGTATCTGTGAGTTCAAGCCCTGGCGGGTTTCGCGCTGGTGGAGCCTACTTTAAAAGTGAAATAAGAAATGTAGGGATCGGGATCCCTGGGTGGCGCAGCGGTTTGGCGCCTGCCTTTGGCCCAGGGCGCGCGCGATCCTGGAGACCCGGGATCAAATCCCACGTCGGGCTCCCGGTGCATGGAGCCTGCTTCTCCCTCTGCCTATGTCTCTGCCTCTCTCTCTCTCTCTCTCTCTCTCTCTCTCTCTCTCTCTGTGACTATCATAAATAAATAAAAATTTGAAAAAAAAAAAAAAAGAAAGAAATGTAGGGATCCCCGGGTGGCGCAGCGGTTTGGCGCCTGCCTTTGGCCCAGGGCGCGCGCGATCCTGGAGACCCGGGATCGAATCCCGCGTCGGGCTCCCGGTGCATGGAGCCTGCTTCTCCCTCTGCCTCTCTCTCTCTCTCTCTCTGTGACTATCGTAACTAAATTAAAAAAAAAATTAAAAAAAAAAAGAAATGTAAGAGCCTCTTCATGGTTTTGCTGTAGCTTGCTTGTCCTGCATGGCAATTCTCCGCGATTTCAGAATACACCTACTTGGCTGCTAAAATAACTGGCGGTTTCATTTTTTAGGTTAGTACCTTCTTCTGACTCCCACCTTTTAAAGCCCTTCTTCAAGTACACTGTTAGGTACCGCGAGTCACCACGAGGTCCTGCAGGGACACGCTGCCGCGGAAGACAAGGGCTCTCCTGCGGGAGGGGTTTGTTCAAGGGCAGGCTGAGCCCGGCTGAGAGCTCTCCTCTCGGCGGGTGCCCTGAGCTGAGCCCCGGTGCCCCCCTGGGGCACTGAAGAGGCGCCCCGAGCTGAGCCCCGCGGCGACCCGGGGTGCCCCGAGCTGAGCCCCGGGAGCCCCCACGCCCTGGGGCGCCGAAGAGCCACGCGGGTTGCCGGGGTCTGCCCCGGGGCCGACGGCGGCCCTGCTCGGGGCTGCTCGGCCCGCGGCGGGCGCGCACCCGAGACGGCGGCCGGAGGCTCGGGGCGCCCACGTGGGACGGAGCGGCGCGGAGCCCCAGCCGGGCCCAGCTCCTCCGCCGAGCCAGCCCCGAAGCCGCGGGGCCGCAGCCCGGCCGGGCGCCCACACGGAGCGACCCCGGGGGTCGGCTCCGGGCGCCACCTGGGCCGGGGTCAGTCCCGCGGGCCGCGCCGAGCCGACGCAGGACAGCCCCTCGCAGGCGGCCCCGCGCGTCGCCGGCCTTCCCGGGCCCACCCGCCGGCCGCGGCCGGAACGGAGCCGGGGGGCCGCGCGGCCCGAGGGACTCCGCGAGCGCCGGGCCGGAAGTGCTCGCCGGGGCTGCGCGCCCCGTGGCGTGTTTCCGGCGCGACGGCGGACGTGCCGACGTGCCGACGCCCCAGCGGGCGTGTGCTCTGCGGGAGGCTCGCGCGGCTGGAGGGGCGGCTCCGCGGCGGCTGGTGGCGGCGGGCTCGTCCCGGGGTCCTTCCCCTGCGCGGGCGCGATGCGGCTGGGCTCCGGGGCCTTCGCCGCCTGCTGCGTGGCGATCGAGGTGCTCGGCGTCGCGCTCTTCCTCCGGGGCTTCTTCCCGGCCCCGGTTCGCTCCTCTTCCGGGGCGGAGCAGCGGGCAGAGCCCGCGGCGCCTGAACCCTCGGCCGGTACGAACCCCTCGCCGCCGGCTCTGCTCCCGGACCCCGCCTCCGCCGGAGGACGCTCCCTGGGGGCCGCGGCCCCGGGCTTCTCGGGCTCCCGAGGGCCCTCTGCCGGGCCCCTGCCGCCGCGCAGCCCCCGGCCAGGGCCGGCCACACTGGCGCCCTCCTCCCGCTCGCCGCCCAGAGAGGCCCCGCCGGGCCTGCCGTGGTCCGCCTGCTGCCCCCCTCCCGGGACGGGCCCTCGGGCCACTGCCTCTCCGAGGCGCCTCCTTGCCCAGCAAGTCGCAGCGGGGGCAGGATCCTGCTGCCCCTCCGCGCTTCCTTCGAGGACACCCCTCCAGGGCCGCTCCCGTGCTTGACCAGGACGCAGTAGCAGCCGCGGACCGTGTGGCCGGGGCCCTCCGCCGGCTGCCGCGCTGTCTAGAATCGAGCTCCCTGAATGTCCAACCTCCCGCACCTTCGGAAGGGCCTTCCCTTTCCCGGGACTGCCCGAGCGAAAGGCTTAATTCTTAATACTGCTTAAGGCTGGGGCTCCTTCAGCTTGCCCCCCCCCCCCCCCCCCGCTGTCTGCCAGGAACAGGTCCTTGTCCCTGGGTCGGGTTGGGTACATGGCGCAACATATGTGCTGGAGAAGTAGCCCAGAAACAGATGATAAGGTGCTCGGGTGCTAAATACAACTTAAAACTCCATTTTCTTTATCCTTTCAAACATTTTTAGGAGCCAGTTCCAACTGGACCAAGCTCCCACCACCTCTCTTCAAAAAAGTTGTTATTATGCTAATAGATGGCTTGAGAGATGATTTTGTGTTCGGCTCCAAGGGTGTGAAATTTATGCCCTACACAACTTACCTTGTGGAAAAAGGAGCATCTCACAGTTTTGTGGCCGAAGCAAAGCTGCCTACAGTTACGATGCCTCGAATCAAGGTAAACAGCTTGACTAAATGTGTTGTCAGTGGTGGCTCGGCTCTCTCTCCTCCTTTACTTGGAGTCCCAGTCGTAACTAGGAAGAAATTAGTCGAGTGCTATACACCTGGCTGGGGCAGTAAAATGCTGACAAAGCTCACAAGATAGGATAGAACTGAGACCCTTGATTTGTGTTGCTTGTCAAGTAGTCCAACGTTCACACGTCATGGAAAGCGTAGAGCTTAATCAGAGCCAGATCATTCGGGGCAGCCTAAACCAAACGATGGTGCCCTCCTTGCTAGCCTGGTCTCTTTTTTAATCATCAGTGCACCACATACATTCCAGAAAGAAGACTTTAGGATTAATCTAGTTCAGTCTCTTGACTGTATGGATAAGAAAGCAAAGTCAGATAAGTTAAATGACTTGTTCACAACTGTGGTATAAATAAAAAGCACACCTGTGTGATCCGGCCTCAACAGGTATGACTGTTTCTACTAATAAGTCACTTTGAGGTGTTCAGCCTAGTGAGTGTGGCTTGAAAGTGCATAGTGCTTTACCCACAAACTATGGTTTTAAAAAAAAAGAGAGTAAAGCCGTGTTGATTGGCTCAAGAACTATTTATTAAGCAACTACTTACTGTGTGGCAGTACTGTAACAGGTGTGCAGTTGGGAGAAAATAATATCTGCCTTTATGGAGCTTTTAGTCACGAGAAACATATCCATTAAAAGATGAGTAAATCAATTTGCAGTTTTATTTTTTTTATAATTTTTTTAAAATTAATTTACTTATGATAGTCACAGAGAGAGAGAGAGAGAGAGAGAGGCAGAGACACAGGCAGAGGGAGAAGCAGGCTCCATGCACCGGGAGCCCAATGTGGGATTCGATCCGGGGTCTCCAGGATCGCGCCCTGGGCCAAAGGCAGGTGCCAAACCGCTGCGCCACCCAGGGATCCCAATTTGTAGTTTTAAAGTGTGGTTTGATGTATGATGAGAAAGAACAGGGTGTGATGCTCATTACTGGGTGGGGTGGAAGGGGGGCTCAATTTCGATTGAGGGTCAGAAAAGCCTGCCTGAGGAAATTACATTCAAGTTTAAACTGGAAGGATGAGTAAAGGGGAGGAGTCAGAAAGGGACATGTTGCTAGTATGGTTAAAAAAAAAAAAATGTGTGGTTGAGCCTTATGTGACACATTATTTGGTGAGAAGGAACCACTTCTTGATTGAAAGCTTGGGGGCAGTATTTAGTAGGTACCCAGTAAATGTTTACTAGATGAATAAAACAGTCTGGGAATGAAAGGATTAATACTGCATCTTTCATTGACTTCTTTCTTGAGTTTTCCACTCTTTGTAACTTTTGGTTGTAGTGTGTCCTTCACTCAGCAGGGATTTATTGAGCATCTTCTATGTATCACATGATACTTCTGAGTATCACATGTTTTAGATAAGAGGGATTCATTCAGTGAAGAGCAAGTTAGCAGATGTCCTAACCTCATGGAGCTTAATTTCTGATTGAGGGGACAGAAAATATGTACATATACAAATAAGATAGTGTCAGAAAGTGGTAAGTGCTGTGGGAGGAATCAGGGAGGAGAATATGACAGAGTGATGAGGAGTGGGGCACCTTTAATCAAGAAGCTCAGGGATGGCCTCTCAAGAGTGCTCATGCTACTGAGACCAGTCTTGTGAAAGCTAGAAGAAAGGCATCCAGGCTCCTCGCCGTCAGGAGTGCTGATTTCTTCATCTGTCATCAGAAGTGTGGAAGGAACTGGTTCCTCCTTCATTCAGGTAAGAATGTGTTACTAGGAATCCGCGCAGGTTAGTAAGAAAGTGTGTAAGTGGGCGTGCAGGCTCCAGGCTGTGTTCAGACCTGCGTGTTGGCTACTGTGGTTCTTAGGGCCTCCCACCTCCAGCCCATTTGTGTCATTGCATGACACAAAACCAGTGTTTTGCTTCATTTTGTTTATTTTGTTTTCAGTCCTTTGCAGGTTCTGGCTCCTCATTCCCCATTGAGGGGGAGCTGGAACAGGAACTACATACTGGAGTTAGGATTACACAGCTCTAGAATTTGGTAGGATTTAGTAGTGTTGACTAAGGAGTGTGTTCCGTACCTTGTCTCCCATTAGGGAAAGGAGTTCATTAATCTTGAGGTGTTGATGCGGTTGTCACGACACACTGATCTTAACAACTCAAGGCTAATGCCTCTCATTGCACTTTCTCACAAACTAATTTGTGAATGCTTTTCCTTTCTTCAGGGAATTTATAGTCCCCACAATAAGGAGCCAGGTACTGACCAACTGAGTGTGGTGAGCACAGAGCACAGGCATTATCTCACGTGCTGTCACAACAGCCCCGTGACCTAGGCTGTGTGAGGCAGGCACTGCCATCTTTTCCATTTTCCAGATGAGGAAACAGGCTTGAAGTGGTGAAACCACACAGTGGCCTTAGAAACTGAGCCTAGGCCTCTGTATGTCTGGTTCCAGAGCCTCCATTGGTCATAGCATGTTATGTGGCATTACTGCCGAATATGGTGACCAGGCCACGTCCTCTTCCAGTAGTCTCTGCAGAGCCCTCCGTCATTCTCAGAGGGCAAGAAACAACTGTTCCCAAGGCCACAACAACCACAGGAAGACCCCCAAGGTGATGGCAGACTTGGGCTCTCACGTAGACTTCCTAGGGCTCCCAGCTGCCTGCATGCTTCCTGGGGTAAAGGGTACCAAGCAGTCCCTGCCCTCCTCGAAAATGTCAATGGGAACACAGCCTAGTGTGAGAAGGAGGCAAGTACCTCATAAAAGCCCCTGGGAAAAGGATGGACAGATTAGACCACATGGAAACAGAAAACTGTTATGTGATGGAAAACACTTTTTTTTTTTAGATTTTATTTATTATTCATGAGAGAGAGAGAGAGAGAGGCAGAGACGTAGGCAGAGGGAGAGGCAGGCTCCCTGTGATCTGGGGATCAGAGACTCGATCCTAGGACCGGGGATCACGCCCTGAGCCAAAAGCAGATGCTCAACCACTGAGCCACCCAGGTGCCCCAGAAAACACTATAAACTAAGTCAACTGACAAATGATAGACTGGGGAAATTATTTACAGTTGACATCACAAACAAGAGGTTAGGCCCATGATGTGTAAAGAGAATCTGGCCAAGGACAACAATCCAATGGCAAAGGATATAAAGAAATCCACAAAGGAAGACATTGAAATGGCAAGTCAACATATGAGGAGATTCTGTACTAGTAATCAGGGCAAGGCGAACTCAAGCAATCTGCAACCCCAGCTTTTGTCTATCACGTAAAAATGTAAAGATTGATGATGACCTCTTCTTCATACAAAATGAGGTGGACAGGGGATCCCTGGGTGGCGCAGCGGTTTGGCGCCTGCCTTTGGCCCAGGGCGCGATCCTGGAGACCCGGGATCGAATCCCACGTCAGGCTCCCGGTGGATGGAGCCTGCTTCTCCCTCTGCCTGTGTCTCTGCCTCTCTCTCTCTCTCTCTCTCTCTCTCTCTCTCTCTCTCTCTCTCTGTGACTATCATAAATAAATAAAGAAAAAAATATTAAAAAAAAAATGAGGTGGACAGGTACTCTCAACACTGAGCCAGACCCTGCACTGCTGGCTCCCCCAGTCCAATCTGCTGTGGTCTCCAGCCAGGACTGTAAAATCTCCCAGCACCTCCTTGTGCCCAGGTCCTGTCCAAACACACCAAGTTGTCTCCTTTTCAAACCCTGCACTAGTTTATATCGACCTACTAACCCAGGCCTCGAGGCTGCACGGTCCTGTCCCTGCTTACCTCTCTGCCCTCATCTGAGTTGCTCTCCCTCTTCCTGGGCCATTCATCCACATAGATCACACCTACCCCAAGTGTATTGCCCTCTTTTGGATGTGGGGCTTTCACAGTTTGCTGTGTTCCCCCTGGAAAGCCCCAGCGCACCTCCCCCTCGCCTAGTCAACACATGAGCCTTCAGGTCTCAGCTCAAATGGCACTTTTGTTGCAAGCTTTTTATTTTTTATTTTTATTTTTTTTTAATTTATGATAGTCACATAGAGAGAGAGAGAAAGAGAGGCAGAGACATAGGCAGAGGGAGAAGCAGGCTCCACGCACCGGGAGCCCGACGTGGGATTCGATCCCGAGTCTCCAGGATCGCGCCCTGGGCCAAAGGCAGGCGCTAAACCGCTGCGCCACCCAGGGATCCCTGCAAGCTTTTTAAAATACATGTCCATGCCCATTAAAATGGTCTTGGTCCAAATACTGGCATACTCTGTAGCTGCCTGAAAAGAAAATGAAGTAGCTCTGTGTTTTCTGGGGTGAAAGGTTCAGGATATGCTATTAATTGGAAAACAAAAGCAAGCTGCAGAATTGTTTTCTATAGTTTCTTAACATTTTTATTTAAAAAATGTGTATCTTTGTATATTTGTGATCATACACATACAGGAAAAGGTATGAAAGGGTACTCACCCAACGTAACTGGTTACCTGTAAGTGGTAGAATTTTGGGGTGAAAGGAAGGCTGTCCTTTTAAAAAAATAATTTCACTGAGATAGAATCTTCATACAAAGTAGTCCAGACATTTTTATATGTACGGTTTGTTGAGATTTCACAAATGTGGTATATCCGTGCAACCCCCACCTCAGCTCTGGATTTTGATCCTTCACCCCACCCCAGGAGTAGTGGTTGTTGCCACCGTTTTGTTGGTTTGCCGCTGTAATTACTTGCCAAAACTCATTCTGTAGAGTCTGTCTCCGCTGGAGTGCACAGTAACTGGTATCTGCTTATTTTTGTTTTAAGTTCTTGTTTTTATTTTTAAACTGATCTTTCAGAAGGTCACCCCTGGGACAGCATAGTTAGTGGTTAGCCAATGACTGGTCAGAGGCTGTGCTTAAATGCATTATGCAGTGGGCCTTCCACCCTTTCCAGGGGCCTGTGTGAGGTTAGTACTCACTGTCCAGGCACCAGTAAGCCTCCCCTGTCACTTTCTGCATGAGTAGGGCCTCCTGCTCAGCTGGAAGGAATGGGTAACTAGGCACTGTCTGATCTCTCCTGAGCACACAGCCTCATGTGTACATGCAGCTTTCCAGATGCCGGGAATATGTGGGAGTTTATAGAAATTTGCTATACCTGTGTCATTCCCCAGACTCCATTTTTACTTATTTTCTAATTTTAATTTTTTTTTTTTTTTATTTTAAGTAGGCTTCACCATGGGGCTTGAACTCACGGCCCTGAGATCAAGACCTGAGCTGAGATCAAGGTTCGGACGCTTAACTGACTGAGCCCACTAGGCACTCCTAACTGAGATCCCGTTTTTAAATGTTGGGCTTGTCTCTTCCACAAACAGCATTGATGCCTTAGGCAGCTGTGATGTTGGCCTTCCTTGTTTTCAACACATCCCTGGCGTGGGACTTCTCCATGCAGCCCCACTCGGGTGGACCCTTCCAGGTCCCCATTTCCTGCTACATCACAGGGATAGGGGAAGGGGAGCGGCCTATGTTAAAACATCACAGGTACTCACAGCTCTTACTGAGCTTCAGTAGTTTGTCTTAGATAAAAACTTTGCAATTTGTTGTATATCCTTGATGAGTTTTCAAAGTCTTGAAATGGTCGTTTTTGGGCAATTCTGTCCTATTTTATCATTGCTCTTAGGGGAAAGGATTTGCCAAGCTCCTCTGGCATTCCAGAAGTCAAGTTAATTCATATCTGCTTTTTCTTTTCATTTCTGTTAAAGAAGTCTTGGCAAAACTATTATGCCTATTAATTAGTATTATCTAGATTTCTATTTATTACAGATAAGTCCCTGGGTGCCAGTGTCATGGGTTGTTGTGGATAACTCCAGATTAACAGGAGATGCGTAGCCCATTACTGTGGTCTCTTAGACTCTGTGCTAAAGCAAGGGAGGTTGTTGACATAATTCTGAGTCAGAAAGGTATGAGGATCTGTCACACCCACCCTTACCTCCCGGAAATTACAGTGCTTTGTGCGTGTGTTCAGAACAGAGGTGTCCCACCAGCAGCCCTGGGCCTGTTTACTATGAGAATTTCTGAGGGTTCCTGCTTAGAGACTGCTTTCCTCTCAGGGTGCATGAGAGGATGCTTGTTCACACAGAGTGGACATTAGATTTGCTAGGTTGTAGGATCAACCCATGGAGTTGCTCATCACACGAGCAGATGTGAAGCTTAGGTGAGCACCTCATGGGAAGTTGAATATACAGGTTCACGTTTTCAATGCATACCCCACTGCCATTTTCTTCAGTTGCTGTAACCCACAGCTTTTCAGTCCACCACTATCGTCCAGCTGCCCATAGCCGCCGCCTCCATCCTCTCATTGGCTGAAATAAAGTCAAGTCTTTTGTGATCGAGTTTGCTAGTTTTGCCAGAATTTATGTGCAGCTTTCCCCTCTGTCCTAGCACTGACCCAGCCTTCAGTTTTGGGAATATCCTAGTTTTATGCTCTCCTCTTTCATCCATGAAATGATCTTTGACACCCCTTCCCGTGCTATGGTTTGGATTCTATAGTCTAATTCCTTGAATGTTTCCTCCTGCAGGCGTTGATGACAGGGAGCCTCCCCGGCTTCATCGATGTTGTCAGGAACCTCAATTCCCCTGAACTGCTAGAAGACAACGTGATCACACAGGCAAAAGCAGCTGGAAAAAGAATTATCTTTTATGGAGATGAAACATGGGTAAAATTATTCCCAAAGCATTTTGTGGAATATGATGGAACAACCTCATTCTTTGTGTCCGATTATACAGAGGTCAGTTTTTAAAATAAGAAAACTTTGTCATACTAGATAGAGTCTTGTTAGTGAGAGGCAATGTTGTTTTGTATGTGGCCTTTATTAGTATACTGGGAGGAGTTTGGAGAGATAGTAGAAATTGTGCATTCACATAATCACTTATAACCCGGGGACATTAATGTGATACAGGTGTGAGCACAGCTCTCCTAGAGCAGCTGAGCACCTGTTGATGGGGTACGGGGAGTCACGAAGGGCTTCCCAGCAAGGAGCCATTTCAGCTGTTTGCAGAAGTGAGTGGGGACTTCCCAAGTGGACAAAATGGGGGTGGCAGCATTTGTGCGAGGCAGAGCCTGAGGACTTCATGGCCTCCCTGGGATCCTTGAGGCTATAGGTTCTTCTGTTATTGTGGCAATCAGTGTCCCCAGTGGGGAAGTGGGAGGACAGATGGTGAGCTGGGGGTTGCCTGGTCCTGAGGGGCACTGCCCTGTGCTGGGAGTTTGGTCTCCAACAAGGCAAAGGGCATGATTAGACCTGTAGTTAGAAAGTTGACCTGGGAGCAGAGGGAGGCCCCATGGAGCAGAGACAAACCCGCACCAGCTCAGTTTGCCGGGCCTGGTAGGGCGTTCACAGTCTTGCTCATGTTAATACCCTTTGGTAAAGTTAACCTCTGTGCAGGCAGCAGTTACCGTGCAGCAGTGAGTTTCCCCGTCCTCTCTCTCATCACTCAGAGACCCTTCCCTTCGTAGACACTTTTCAGTGAGAGGGAGGTGGGCCGGCTGAGTGGTCAGGCCTGACCAGGCTCATGGCTCTGTCGGGGGCTGCTCGACCACTAGTTGCTGAGAGCTATATCTCTCTCCTCCCAGAACATCCTTCGCACAGGACGCACTTAGATGCCCTCGGCTTCACCCCACAGGTCACCTGAAGTCTGGCACCTGTGTGACCTGGTCACCTGCTTAGTGTTAGTTAATTCCCAGTAGGAATCCCTCAGAGTGGTTTCGACAGAACAACACTTATTTAAATTGCCTGTGTAGTATGTTCTATGTGTACTCTAGAAACGTGAGAACAGTACTAGTGAAATCTCAATCTAATGCTAATATTTGTTTAACTTTTTTTATGATGGGTTTCTCTGTTTGTGTTGAAGGGTTTTTTGGTCTTTTCAGATTCTAAGTCCTGTTTCCTAACGAACGCCTAGATTTTAAAAGGACTGGATCACTTTTCCTTGGAGAGTGCAGATCAAGGGAAATAAGGGAAGCTCTTCGTACATACTTTTTCTCCTTTACAGGTGGATGATAATGTTACAAGGCATTTGGATAAAGTATTAAAAAGAGGGGATTGGGACGTGTTAATCCTCCACTACCTCGGGCTGGACCACATCGGCCACGTTTCTGGGCCTAGCAGTCCTCTGATTGGGCATAAACTCCGGGAGATGGACAGCATCCTGATGAAGATCCACACCTCACTGCTGTCCGAGGTGAGGCTCACACGGCACTAGGGTGTCACCGTGCCAGCGTCTCCTAGGAGACACCAAGTTCCTGAAATGGACTTGAGACCTATGTGAACGCCACACCCACCATCACTCAGGTCACCTGTAAGCACAGAGCACAGGCTCAGCCTCCTACAGCTCTGACCATGTCCACCATTCACCTTTTCATCCAACTACTAGCTTGTGAGGGCTTCTGTATCACTGATCTGTCCAGGCATCCGCGGAGCTCATACGGTAGCTAGGAAGGACAAACGAGGATAATCGACGAGTCCATAAGAAGTACACTGAAAAGTGACTGGTGCCTCAGGAAACAGGGCAGGAAGAGGGAACAGCTTCTGAGAGAGAAATCGTGATTCTCAGTAGAATGGTGAGGCCAGCTGTCCTTCAGGTTGTGTGAGATGAGAGCAGAGCCTTGAAGGGAGGTGAGGAGAATACGCCGCCTGTGACGGCGTGTCCGGGTGAGGAACAGCAGGGGCGAGGCAGACCATGCTGCACGTCCAGGAGCAGCAGAGGCCCTTGGCTGGTGTCCCAGGCTGAGGGGCGGGCCCATGTGACCCCCGTGACGCCCGAGGAGATGGGCGTGACAAGGAGTGCACCTGGGCTATCCCAGCTCGGCAGTGGCAGAGACAGAAACCAAGCCCCAATCCTCGGCCCTCAGAGGCCCTAAATGTACCTGCCTGTGCTCCGTGACCTCCGTATGATTCTGTTAGTTTTATGATATTATTTGTCTTTAGCCCTTTGATCTACCTGTAAAAGAACAAAACAAAAACATCTAACTCATTTACAAAGAGTTACTATTTATGAAGTAAAGGCAAAATCTAAAGTCGTTTCCTTACCAAGGTCATGTGTTCTCCTCAGGCCAAATGCAATTGGAATTTTTCCTTTGCCTTGTAGGAGAGAGAAACTCTTGTACCCAATTTGCTGGTTCTCTGTGGTGATCACGGCATGTCTGAAACAGGCGGTCATGGGGCCTCTTCCATGGAGGAGCTTAACACCGCCCTGATCTTAATCAGTTCTGCATTTGAAAGAAAACCTGGTGAGGATTTAGGAATGTTTACTATTTTAAAACTGTATTTTATGTATCTGTTTTCTGTAGACTGATTCTAATTTTTAAAATTGTTTTCTTAGAAGTTGTGTAAGTTTGAGATGTCCTGAGCAGTGTACAGATGAAAATTAATGGGCAAGGGGCAGCCAGGATGTGGAGTTTACATTTCTTGCCCCAATTCTTAAAATACAAATATTCTTTGTAGGAATTTTATTGTATGAACGTCACTGCCTGGATATCTGAACCGTTAATAAAAATTACCAGTAGCTTCAAGACATCTGAACACATGTGCACTAAAAAAAAGAAACATGAATTGAAATTTTTACAGACGATCCACCTTTTGAAACTCTGAACGAAGAGTCATGGGATCAGTCAGAGCAGAACTAGCTGAGCCCTGTCAGCCTTGAGACCCTGCAGCTCTCCACCCCAAACACACACGAGCAGCTCTGGCCTCCGCCTCCTCACTTTACAACATGCTCGCCTTTGCTCACCAGTTATTTCTGAGTTGGACACTCTCTGCCTTCCTCTCACATGATCCTTTAGTACCACTGGGTGCTTCTGACCCTGGGTTCTGGTAGCTCCCATTTGTCTGGTTGTCCTCCCACCTCTCACTTTGCTATCTAGTCGTCTTTGCTGGCTTAGCTCCCTGGCCTGGCATACTTCCTGGACTGCCTCCTGGTTTCATTCCACATTCACTCCTGAGATGATCTCGTCCACTCCCGTGGTTGTAAATGCCATGATTGGCTCACGCTTGTCAGATTTATCCCTCCAGCTGTCTCCTCTCTTCCAGTCTCCAGACTGTCTACTCAGCTGCCTGTCTGACGCCTCCACTTGGGTCTCCCACAGGTAGAGAGCAACTGTGACAGCTTCACGTCTAATCTGCCCTCTTGTATTCCCCTGCCAACAAATGGCCCTTCGGTGTGACTCTTCCAGGTGGAAACGTGGGCATCCCCCTTCACCCTCTTTCTCCCTTGCTCCCCACATTTCAGACCATCCCGAGCTCCCGTACATAAAACCTTTCAGTAGCTGAACTTTGGATCAAGTAACAATCCTGCATGAGGCTCCTTTGCTGCCTCACAGCTTCATCCTGAACCATATTCACCATTACTCTCTGTGTCCCGGCCTCTGCCCTTTCCATGGGCTCTCCAAGTGACAAGCTCTTCCCCATGTGCCCAACGCCAGCATCATCAGCCTCTTGGCCTACTTGTCCACTCATCCTTGGTTTCAGCTCATCTCACTCATCCATGAAACTACATTGCCTTCCCTCTGTTCATCATTCACAGTAGTCTATGCCTGCTGCCCTCGTTCTTTGCTTAGATAGTAATTATAGACTTATTTGTGTGATGCGTGTAACAGCCGCCTCCCCTGTGCACCTCATGCCACGGTTGGGCAGGACCAAATCTGTTTTGTTCATTGGTACAGGCCTGCCTTGGGCCTGAACATCAACTGGTATGTGATGGGCACCAAAAAGGTTTGTTGAATGAATGAATCTTCCACTTGAGTGAGAATTGAATGGGGAAGAAACTCCACTGATTTCCTTCCATCTTTTTGCAACACTTCCTCCTCTTGGACCTCTGATCTCCTAAGATATGTCATTGGCTCTTGGGAACTGAGCCTTCCTGTTCTAGCTGTCTTACCGAAGCCTGCCTTCCAGTGAGTGCACACACTACCCACCAGAGCACCAGCCTTGTACACCTGGCTCTCCCTCACTGTGTACCCAAAGTAGGGTCTCTCGTGGCTCCCCTGCCTGAGCGAGAGCCCTATGCCAGAACCACCCTTCCTACTCGATCCAGCAGAGGTGTACTGAGTACCTGTGGTGGGCCAGGCACTGAGCCAGGCACTGTGGGCAAACTTTGCCCTCGGGGAGCTTATAGTCTGGGGAGCAAAAGAGACGACTGTGTGACAGTTGTCATTGAGCTAAAGTGCTGATGTTTCATCTCCAAGATGGGTGTTTAAAATGTTCTCCTTGGGAAGCTTGACAGGGTTCATTGCCAGAAACAGCCAGAGCAGCTGCATGTGCAGGACACCTGAGAGGGTTGTTCAGGTGACTGACCTCAGTGCCAACAGTAGCTTCCCAGTGTTTTGTCATGTGTTTCCTTGTGTCAAGCATGGTTGTGTTCAGTAGTCTCATTATGCTTATCTTAGGAGCCAGGACTGCACTGCAAGTAGTTCACTCAGAGTTAGTATTCATTCTAGGAAAGTGCACCCCCACTGACCTCCCCCACCCCCACCCCCTCACCCACTGCCAGCAACTGCAGATCTTTTTTCCATCTCTATAGATTTGCCTCTTCAGGACATTTCCTGTAATTGGACCCTGTAGTACATGGCCTTGTGTGACTGGCTGGTTTCATTTGGCCTAATGTTTTCAGGGTTCATCCAGGCTGTAGTGGATGTCAGGACTTCGTCCTTTCTTAGGCTGAATTATTGTGCCACATAATGGATAGCCCACGTCATGTATCCATTCATCAGTTGATAGACATGTGTTGTTTCTACTTTTCAGCTGTTATGAATGATGTTGTTGTGACCGTCTGGGAGGTTTTTGTGTGGACAGATGTTTTTTGTTGTTGTTTTTTTTTTAAGATTTATTTATTTATTTAGAGAACAAGTGAGAGTGCATGCAAGCAGAGGGAGGGGCAGAGGGAGAGGGACAAGCAGACTCCCCAGCGAGCAGAGAGCCCAACCTGGGGCTCCATCCCAGGACCCTTGAGATCATGACCTGAGCCAAATCAAGAGTCAGACACTTAACAGACTGAGCCACCAGGTGCCCCTGGAATGTGGTGGTGTTTTCTTTGCTCCACCTACCTTGTCTGTACTGTTACTGTCAAATATACTACCTTTTTTTATTTTAAGATTTTATTTGAGAGAGAGAGCATGAGCAGCAGGGTGGGGCAGAGGGAGAGGGAGAAGCAGGCTCCCTGCTGGGCTCAATCCCAGGACTCCATGATCATGACCTGAGCCAAAGGCAGACGCTTCACTGGCTGAGCCACCCAGGCGCCCCAAATACAGTACATTTATTTCTATGTGTAACAAACCAGGGACAGAACTATATATATGTTTTCTATAGTGGCTTTTTAAATGTGTTCTCATGCTGTTTTAGAATTTTATAGTTAACTTTACTGATGCTCTTTGCTTGTTTTATGGATCAAGGTTAACATCTAGAGTCACTTGTTTTCAAGTATTTAAGTATTTCTTATAAGTCAAGTTTGCTGGCAATGAGTAGTTTCTTTTTTGTTCTTTTAATCTGATATGTCTTTATTTTGGCTTCATTTTTTTTAAAATATTTTATTTATTTATGAGAGACATAGAGAGAGAGAGGCAGAGGCACAGGCAGAGGAGGAGCAGGCTCCATGCAGGGAGCCTGACGTGGGACTCGATCCCGGGACTCCAGGATCACGCCCTGGGCCGAAGGCAGGCGCCAAACCGCTGAGCCACCCAGGGATCCTCTGGCTTCATTTTTAAAAGAGTTTTGCTGACCATTATTCCCTCTTTCAGTCCTTTGGGTCCTGCTGCCTTCTGGCTGCAGGTTTCTGATGAGACCTCCCCAGCGTGACTGGGCTTCCCTTCTTGTCTGCAGCACTTTCATTATAACATGGCTGTGTGCTTTGTGTTTATCCAACTTGGCATTCATCGAGCCTCTTGAATGTGTAGATTAATGGTTTTCATCAAGTTTGGGAAAGTTTCTATCTGTTTCTCAGATTTTACCATTTTTATCAATCTGCCTTCAAATTTGGTGATTCTTCTACCAGTTCAGAATCTCCTATTTTGCAACTAAGTGAATTTTTCATTTCAATTATTAGTTTTCATTTTCATGGTTTCCGTTTGTTCTTTTCTTTATAATTTCTCTCTTTTCGATGACACTGTCATCAGACCTTTATGGTCTATGCATAGTTTGCTGTAGGTCTTTGAATGTGTCTGCGGCGGCTGCTTGAAAGATGGTCTTTTACAAAACTCTGGCATCTGGGCCCTTTCCTGGAAGTTCTGTTGCCTTTTCTTGTGTCTGAATTGTACTGTCCTATTAATTTGCATAATTGCTCATAGTTTTTAGTGAAAACTGACCATCTCCGATAATATACTGTAACAACTCTGGATGCTGACCCCCACCCCCACCACCCTGCCCCCAGGGCTGTCATCATAGACCATTATGGTGGAGTCTCTCCCGCAGCATGAAGTCGGCCGTCTCTCCCATGCTGGCACAGCCCTCCTAGGGTGACAGCCATCTCAGTGATGCTCTGTGCCTGTCTCTCTCTGTGATGGCTTGCTAGGCTATTGCCCCTGTTGCTGTCATACCCCACTGTCAGGCTCTACTCATTGCCAGCTGATTTTGACAACTTATAATAAATGTGCCCCACAATCTAATCTTGTATTTGAGCTCCTTTGAAGGGTCATTTTCGAGGCCATTCTCTGAGGTGATTCTGACTCTTCTGTCGTCTTCTTCCCTGGCCCTCTCTGTGAGTGCCCAGCTGGCCTCTGGTTTAGCTTGTGGCTGTCGTGAAGGTACCAGCTTCCTCCAGCTGCCCACCTCCAAAATCTCCACTGCTTTCAGGAGCATTCCTAGGCTTGAATTCACCACCTTCTGTTTCAGACAAAATCAGTTCTTTTGTGGTGAGCTTTGCTCTGTTCTATGGCCTGCCTGGAGCAAAGTCTCTTAGCCACGGTTTCTACTTATGGGTGGTGACAGTGGTCCCTTTCTCTCAGAGGGGTCTGTGTAGTAGCTTCTGGTCTTTTCCACTAGCCTCTTCTGGGGGCAGCCTCCACCCTACAAGCAGACTGGGGTAAGGATGAGTGGGCCCCAATATTTTTGGCCTTTTGTGCCTGGGGTAGAAATTCTCTATGGGGCTGGGCAGAAAAAGGGAGCCCTCAGCCACTCACCTGGGATTGAGCCTGTATGCCACATAGCTGAGGAGGATGGGCAATGCTGTCAGTCTGTCCCTCCCCAGGAGAGCTCAGAGCCCTCACAGGGACCCAGGGGTGAGTCAGGGAGCCCCGTGTTCTTTGCTGTATCCTCTCAGAGTGGAGGCTGTCCCACTGAACTGCCCAGTGGGCAGGAGGGAATCATGGTTCCTCAAGAGTCTCACACTGTCCTGTTCTTACCGAGCTTAGGAAAGATTAGGTAAGATTTAGGGAAAATGTCTTCATTTGCTGTATGCCCCTAGATGGTTTCCAGAAGCCATAAATCATTGTGGTGATGTTGGTTTTTATCTTTTTTACCGGTTATGCTTGTTTTCCTGGCAAGCAGACCCATAGAGCTCTTCATGCCACCCTTCCTGATAGGTCTTTAAAGGCTTATTTTTATCTACAGATTCATGTAAATTTTTGTTATTTTAATAAAAGTACATCTTAAGGTGTTTATTATTCTGAAAAATAAGGAGTTTTGAATTGTGTATCATGTGATTTCACATACCCCCCAGCCTGCTACTTTCCACCCCCAGAGTTCTGACCTCCTGGTAAGAGAAACTGGCCAGTCCAGCATCAGAGGGTCCTGAAAGGAGATCCTTCCCCTGCTTGACCTCCACATAGGGCAGAGCAGGTATATGTTATTGACTTCCTCCTGCCAACAGGATGTAAGCTCCATGAAGGGAGAGACTTGACGTGTTCTGTTATATTCTATCCCTTAAGCCCAGAATAGTGGCACATAGTGGCCGTCTTGTCAGTATTTGTTGATCGAATGTGTGGAAGGTGGCTTAGCTGTACAGAGCACATTGCTGGGGCCCATGGAAAAAGGCCTGGGTGCTACATGGAGAGAATGGTCTTCTGATGAAATGCTCTTCTTCTACAGCATAAAACCCACTATGTAATGTGGCCTGCCTTGTATTAGTATTACAGAAGTACAGGTCTCGAAATATTGCTGGCAAGAACTAATCACACTAATCAGTAGAGCAAAATCAAGAGGCCAAAAATAGACCCCAGTAGATCTGGGCATTGGGTAACAAAAGATGGCATTTCACATGAGTGGAGAAAAGACAAGGCATTCCAGAAGTGATGTCAAGACCTTCTGGAAAAAAATCATGCTGTATAGAACCCATCTTTCAACCAACACCTTCTTTCATGAAGATAGGAGCGTTTTCAGATGTATTTTTGGAAGCATCAGTGTCCTGATGTGGCACCTATTCTCTTTGTAAGGGTTGGTGAGAAGACCAGCCCTTCAATCAGGCCATCGGTAGGCAGATGTCTTGTCTGTTGGAGTTGGTTAGAGAACTCGGTCCAGCTGAATCTAGCCTCATTCTACTCTCTCCAGGTAGAGGTGCCTTCTGATGCGCATGTCTGTGTCTCTTTCTCAGCGCTCTGTGGACCTCTCTGAATGGTTGACTGTTGTCCTCACCAAGGCAACCATCCCTCAGCATCTGCAGAGCTGTCTGCTCTCTCTGTGCCCACCCCAGGCTCTGACACTCAGTATCGAGTTTCTTGTGCTACTATCTCTCCCACATATCATATGCTACTTTGGGGAAGGCCCTGTGACCCCATGGAATGAGTGTTAGTAAATTTGTTGACGTAAACACCAGTGAGATTATTTCTCTATATATGTACATGGAATGCTCTGAAGAGATGGTCATCGCAGGTCGAGGGAATGACCAATGTTCGAGAGCCTGTCACTTAAACCGTTGTCTTTTCTCTAGGTGACATCAGACGTCCAAAGCACGTTCAGCAGACTGACTTGGCTGCAACCCTAGCAATAGGGCTTGGCCTGCCGATTCCAGGGAACAGTGTCGGCAGCCTCCTGTTCCCCACCGTGGAGGGGAGACCGGTGAGAGAACAGCTGAGGTTTTTACATTTAAATGCAGTGCAGCTCAGCAAATTGTTGCAAGAGAATGTGCCATCATACGAAAAAGGTAACTCAGTTAACAGACTATGTTTCTACCGCACCTGGTGTTTTCCTGTGTTTGCAGTGTGCAGGTCATCAGTCTTTGTACTTCTGTTTTCTTAGAACCCTGATGGTCACCATTAGCAGCACCCACAGATACAGTTATCTGTATCAAGCTCTTTCATAAATGTATTCGTTCAACAAATATGGAATTTATTCACTAAGTTCCTCTTTGGCTGGAGACTGTTAAAAGCATCTGAAACACAAGGCCTCTGCCCTCATGGAGCTTACCTTCTAGAGGTGGAGAAGTAGCAGTAGCTATCAGATGGTGATGAGTGTATCCAAAAAAGGATGTACTGAGGAAGGTGGGAAAGGGCTGTCAGGGCAGGCCTGGCCTTTGAGAGTCAGAAGGAGCATGTGGCAGATATAGGATCCTGCTCTGGGGATGGCCAAGGGACAGAGTGATCGGAGCCAGGTGAACTGGAGCAAGGCAGAAGGAGACGAGGTTGGAGGTAGGCCATTTAGACCTTGGAGGGGCTCTTACTTCCGTCATGAGCCAGGTGGGAGCTCATGCAGCCTTCCACACAGAGTCTGAAAGCTTCGCGCTGCATTTTCAAAGGCTCTCTCAGGTGCCCTCGTGGAGGGTTCCGCCCTGTGTTGTGTGATGAAGGCTGTTGCGGGGCTCCGGGGTGAGGTGGGGTGCGGGCCCAGGCTGTGGCAGTGCAAGCAGGCCTCCCCTGATGCACTAGATATAGGGTGTGGGGGAGTCAGACAGGCGGGGTAAAACAGGATTTTCAGCAGAGCAGTGGAAGAACAGGGTGACTGTTCCTGAAGTGGGGGAGGGTGCAGGAGGAGCAAGCTTGTGAAACGGGGTACTTGCAGAGTGAGACGATTGATGCCAAGGAAGCCTAGTAAAGAAAGAATTTTAGGAAGGGAGGAGTGGGCAGCTAAGTTGAATGCCGCTCAAGCTAAGATAAAACAAGCAGCTGAGGCTTGACAGTTCATCTGGCAAGTGAGGTTCTCGGCGACTTGGTCAGGAGCGGTGCACGTGGAGTGCAGGGAGAAAGCTGGGCTGGAGTCAGGCAGGGAAGGGACTGGGCTGTGGCAATGGCTGTTGTGTAAGGTGGGCGGAGGCCAACACGGAGTATGTTGTTTTTATTTTTAAGCTGGGAGAAACTAAGGGGTATTTATATGCTATGCTGGTAGGAATGATCCAGAACAAGAGAACACATCTGCCCGGGACCATCTTCTTATACAATTTATCTGACCATCAGGGGACATCAAGAACAGTGTGTTTGGTGCTAGGGCTGATTTGGGAATCTTAGAGGAGGTGCACTCCTAGTGTGAGGCAGCAATTAATGTGACGTTGGCAACTTTTCCTACTTGAGATGGTGGAGTACTAGGAAGTAGAGTGAATGCCTGTGGGTTCGCACTGAGGTGTAGACTGGCCTTGACTTGCTTGTGGAAGACCAGCAAGGACTAGTGGAGCACCAGGTGTCCTGACCGGTGGGAGAGCTTGGGGCCCAGCCCCTTGTCCATCCGTAGTGGGCAACCGTGTGAAAAGTGAGGCCTGCCCTGGTGCACATTTCAGTTCAGACTAGAAACAAGCTTTACTTTATTTGTTTTCAAAAGTAACTTGTGAGTTTAGTAGCTTTTGCAAATCTGTTCTTGGTAATGTGTGTACTTTTTCCTGTACTAACAACCAATAAAACACTAAACAAAACCATAGTGAGGGTTGTTGGCTTATATCAGGAGGAGCAAGTAGGGAGAATTAAGGACTGCAGTGAGCGTGGCTGGAAAGAAGTCCATGAGATGAGCATAAGCCAGTCCCTGGCAGGAGAAGCGTTCACGGGGACTTACATTCCTAGGACGCCCTTGGTCTGTACCCTCAGTGATCCTGTTTCCTGAGACAGAACTGGGTACATGTCTGATGCTGAAATCGATTTTCAGGCCTCCCCTGATATCCAGCCCGATCTGAGACAACTCTCCCATCGCCCCCCTGACTTTCATCCCAGTGGAACAGACTTTTCTCACCTCCGGACCTTTACATGTGCTATTCCCACAGACTGGATGCTCTTCCCCATAAATCACCTGGTGGATTTCTGAGCCACTTTCCACTTCAGCTTCAATATCAGACCTTAGGTTCCCCATGCTCAACCCCAGATTTCAGTTTCACATATTCCCCCATTTCCTTCATAGCACTTTTCACAATTTGTACTCACATGCACATGTGAGAACCAAGCTAGATCACAGGCCCAAGCAGGCAGGAACTATACGTGTTTGCACGTAGCATGTAGTTGGTGCTCGGTAAATACTTACTTGGATACATACACAGGTACCCACGTCTCCATATTCTAGGAGGTGCGGTATAGACACTGCTGCCCCCCCGTCTCTGTGACTCTGGGTGGTGGGGTAAAACAATGCTTCCATCCTAGATACAGGCTAATTAGATCCCAGCTGTCTCCTGCCAGCCCGTGAGCTGGTGTCTGGGTGCCGCCCCTCTGGAGTGGCAATGGTCGTCATCCCCATCTCAGGTCATGAGGAGAGAATGGGCATGAGGGGTTTAGAGTCATGCCGGCCACCAGCACTTGGTCACCTGGCATCCGCAGCAGTGGCAGGGCTTCAGGCATTTGGGCTGTGCTCAGGGTTACCCAGCAACCCTAACCCTAGCAGGCATGTCCCAGACCCCCTCGGAATGGCTCTGCTGGAAGAATACGTTACATACCAGGCTGTCTCAGGAAGGAAGTTCTTGCTGTGCAGGGCTAGTTGAGTCACCAGTAAGTCGGGCCCTACTCCAGAAGGAAGCGAGGCAGCTTCCTGATGCTGAGCTGCCCGCCGCTGCCATCCCACAGAGGGAGCCGGCAGCAGCTGGGGCTGGGCTTCATCCAGGAGCCGTTCTGGCAGCCCTGGCTTTGCCTCCCGATGGATCATTTATCTTGGCATCACAACAGAAGGGGTCGGACTGCCGGCCCTTCCCAGAGAGGACTTGTGAAGTAGGAGAGCAGGTCAGAGATGGGTGCTGTCAGTAAAAGGTGGCAAGTGGATGTGGTGAAAGCGGCATCAGGCCACTGCCTGCCCAGTCCTCACGGTGGGTGCGGGTTGCAAAGATTTGTAACACCAGGGGCCCTTCATGTGATGCCCTCCCGGGTGGTTGTTCTATCGCACGTTAGAGAAGGAAAGCTTGTAGAGAGCCTGAGAGAGACGGGAGGAGGAGGCCAGACCAGGCATGGGCGCTAGAGAAAGGGCAGAGCAGTGGGCAGACACTTCTGTCCGTGTCGTGTGCTGTTCTGTGACTCGGGCCGTAGCGGGCTGGCAGGAGGATGTCCGAGGATTCGTGAGCATCATCAGCTGTGGTTTTTACTCAGGGCGCTGCTGGCCATCCCCCAAGGAATCGTTCGTCTTCATTAGGCACAGACCTCACGCACACACCATGTGCTGTGAATAACTGAATACTTTGAAACGATACATGTGTCGGCGATTTGTGTGTGTAACCTTGTCCTCTTCTTGCTAGAGCCTGGATTTGAGCAGTTTAAAATGTCAGAGAGGTTGCATGGGAACTGGATCAGACTGTACTTGGAGGAAAATAACTCAGAAGTCCTTTTCAACCTGGGAGCCAAGGTTCGCAGGCAGTACTTGGATGCCCTGAGGACCCTGAGCCTGTCCCTGAGCAGACAAGTGGCCCAGTACGACATCTACTCCATGATGGTGGGGACTGTCGTGGTTTTGGAGGTACGGGTGCCTGTGTCATGGCTCAGCTGTTGATTCGATAACTTAGCCAGAATACTGTAGTGTAAAGCACATAAAATACTGTTTTTTTCTAAAAATGGAAAAATATCCATTTCCTTGTTTGTTGAACTCTTGTGTGTCCTCGTGCCCCAAGTATCGTCAGGAATCAGGTGGCTGGCTGTGTTCCGTGCCGCTGCATGCATGCATTCTTGGCGGGTCATCAGAAATCGTGTTTATCGGGCTTTCTTCTTTTGTTTCCAACCCTTGAACAGCTGGCACAAGGTCAGGAGACAGGCTTTTTCTGAATGGTTCTCTCCAAGTGCACACTGCCGCTGTTTTCCCCTCCCAGGTTCTCTCCCTGCTCCTACTCAGCATCCCGGAAGCACTGAGCAACAAGGCCGAACTGGAGGTTCCTCTGTGGTCGCCTGTGTTTTCTCTGCTGTTTTACTTGACGTTGCTGGTTCTCTCCGCTCTTCACGTCATTGTGTGCACCTCGGCCGAGAGTTCCTGCTACTTCTGTGGCCTCTCGTGGCTGACAGCAGGCGGAGTGATGGTGTTGGTCTCTGCACTGCTCTGTGCGGTGGTGTCTGCTCTTGCCAAGACCTTTGGTGATGGAAAGTTCCTGAGCAGGGTAAGGCTGGTTCCTATACGTGGGACACTGGCTCTCTGGCTAGGCCATTTTCTCTTACTCCAGCTGATCTTCCAGCATCAGACACTGCTAACCCCCAGGTGTGTGTCAGGCGGGAGCCAAGTTGGGGAGCCCACATTTCAGAGGGGCCGACATCTGAGCATCCCAGCTTCAGACACTCAGATCTGTGTTGCCAGGTCACGTGTGCCTCGTTTCTTTGTTGGAAAGACAGAGTCCCTGTGACTGGGGCAGTGTGGGATCGTACAGTGCTGGTGGGGCAGCATGTGAATCAGACACCTCTCCAAGAGTATTTGAGCTGCAGCCAAGGGAGGAACATTCCAGAGAGAAAAGAATCAACTCAGTAGACCTTCTAGGAAGTTCAGCAGGAGGCCAGGACCCTGTCCTCATCCCGTCTTTTCTTTTCAAACCTTTAGGTTTCTTAGAATCTTTGGCCTCTGACACCTTTATTCGTGGTGTGGTGGCAGAGAAGTGGGGCAGAGGGGGACAGCCACAGCTGGTCCGTGGTGCCCGGGGCCCAAGGGACCCGGGGAGGTGATGCCTGGCCCTTCGGTGCAGCTGCCTCACCTCAGTCTGAGGACCTCACGGGCTGTCTTTTGTAGCACATCTCTGTTCCCCATTAGCTCACAGGTTTCCCTAGAGCCATTTGATTCCTCGGGGCCTAAATAGGTCCACAGTATCTCTGTACCTTACACAAACTGCACATGATAAATAGAGTAAATATTAAGTAGTCATCAAATGACAGTCATTAAAATCTCATCTTTAATTTTAAATGTTTTCAGTTAGTATATTTAAGGGTTAGTACTCTGATGCCAACTTTGTTGTTTCAATAGAATTGGCCATTTTAATGAAAACTTTCTGGTGGAATATATCCTGGGGGTTCTTTGGTTTCAAGAAGCAGGAACTGACTGTGGACCCCCTTGAAGACCTCAGGCTCCCAGAGAAAGGGTGAGGGTTCGAGGAGGGCTGGGCTCAGGACCTGGGAGGTGAGCTCTCTGCAGATGGCGTGAGGCTAAGTATCTTTATTCTCTTTGTCACTCGGCTTAGGACTTGCAGTCCAGGATGACAACAGCCCGTGCTGCTTCTATGCTCCCTGGCCATGCCCCAGGAGGATAGGCAGGGGGCGGTGGGGATGTGGGGCAGGAGGAGCAGCAAGTGCCTGTCACAGCAGGTCAGCAAGAACTTTAAGTGCATATGGTGGGATTTGTGTAATTTTTATATTTTTCCCCTCACAAAATGCATTTTCCTTTTATAGAATTCAGCTCATCCAAAGCCACGATGGTCGGAGTTAGATGTTCTTATCTTGTTGGGGACCATGGGCCACGTGCTGAGTCTGGGTGCAAGCAGTTTCATCGAGGAGGAGCACCAGACCTGGTATTTCCTCATTAACACCCTGTGTCTGGCTCTGTGTCACGAAATCTACAGAAACTGCCTTCTGAGGGATGACAGTGAACCCCAGCAGTGCCCACACGTGGAGGAGGAATTCATCCGCACCGCAGCAGCATTACAGGACAGGAGCACTGGCTGTGACACGTTAGAGCCCTACGGAGTGTCTAGGAGCCTCACTTCCCTTGACACTCTCAGAGGCTACGAGAAGTGGATGGTGTTGGCAAGTCCGTGGGTGATACTTACCTGCTGTCGGCTGCTGCGGTCACTAAACCAGACGGGTGTGCAGTGGGCCCACCGGCCTGACCTGGGGCACTGGCTCACCAGGTGAGACCATGAGCCGTGGCCTTAGGCCCGACCTTGCACGGTTGACTGGCCACACATAGTCTTTTTCAAAATAGGTCTATTTTTCATATTCAGGACAGAAGTGGTATTTGAGACCTGAAAAAATGGCAAAATAGACCATAAGCCATGAATTAATGTTTTTTGGTGTTTTTATGGCTGAATCACTGTCATTGTTTATATTTGAAAACCTTTGAGTTTTAAAATGACTACTGCAGCCAGGATATAGTTTTGTCACTCGCTGCCTCCTCCCTGACAAGGCAGGGGTGGGGTAGGACCACATTCCCTCTTTCCCCACCCTGAAGCCAGTGGCTAAACAACCTAGTTGAAAGTATTATCAAGACGCCTGGGTGGCACAACTGATGAAGTTTTTGACTCGATTTTGCCTCAGGTCATGGTCTGAGGATCGGGAGATCAACCCCAATGTCCGGCTCCATGCTCAGTGTGGAGTCTGCTGGAGATTCTCTCTCTCTACCTCTGCCCCTGCCCTCTGTGTGGTCTCCCTCTCTCTCTAAAAAAAAATAATAATAATAATAATAATAATCATTTGACTGTAGTACACATTTTAATTTTTGTCAGTGAAGACTTAGAAAACTAAAGTAGAGGGAAAAGAGCAGAATGGGCATTTGTTTCCTTTGGCTGTGAAGGACTTGTATGAAAATCACCAACAGGGATCCCTGGGTGGCGCAGCGGTTTGGCGCTTGCCTTTGGCCCGGGGCGCGATCCTGGAGACCCGGGATCGAGTCCCACGTCGGGCTCCCGGTGCATGGAGCCTGCTTCTCCCTCTGCCTCTGTCTCTGCCTCTCTCTATCTCTCTGTGACTATCATAAATAAATAAAAATTAAAAAAATTAAAAAAAAAAAGAAAAGAAAATCACCAACAGACCAACAGGAAAGGGGCTCAGGACAGTGAGAGACCTGTCCCTCACCACGGGGGGGGAGTACCAACAGAAAGAGAAGGGACATGCTCGCCCTCCTGGTGATCAGGGAGCTTAGAGTCCAACAACAAGGTGTGAGTTCCCTCATGCTCACATAGACATGCAAAAGGAAGTGATAGAACCCAGTCCTGGTGAGCAGCAGAGGACCCCTGACCACACACTGCCATGACCCTTTGGGAAAATACCTGGAAATATCCATCAAACGCTATAAAAATCATTCCTCTGGTCAAATCTTTCTTTCTTTCTTTTCTTTTCTTTCTTTCCTTTCTTTCTTTTCTTGTTATTTATTTATTCATGAGAGACCTAGAGAGAGGCAGAGACCCAGGCAGAGGGAAAAGCAGGCTCCCTGAGGGGGCCCCATGTGGGACTCGATCCCAGGACCCCGGAGTCACGCCCTGAGCCGAGGGCAGAAGCCCTGGTCAAATACTTTTTTTTTTTTAATAAATTAATTTTTTATTGGTGTTCAATTTACCAACATACAGAATAACACCCAGTGCTCATCCCGTCAAGTGCCCCCCCTCAGTGCCCGTCACCCACTCACCCCCACCCCCCGCCCTCCTCCCCTTCCACCACCCCTAGTTCGTTTCCCAGAGTTAGGAGTCTCTATGTTCTGTCTCCCTTTCTGATATTTCCTACCCATTTCTTCTCCCTTCCCTTCTATTCCCTTTCACTATTATTCATATTCCCCAAATGAATGAGAACATACACTGTCCTTCTCCGATTGACTTACTTCACTCAGCATAATACCCTCCAGTTCCATCCACGTTGAAGCAAATGGTGGGTATTTGTTGTTTCTAATGGCTGAGGAATATTCCATTGTATACATAAATAAACCACAGCTTCTTTATCCATTCATCTTTCGATGGATGATGGAAATTTCTCCTAGGTGTTAACTCTGTTAACAAAGCCTTGGCAACCACAGGCAGCTTTGTTGGGTGCCTGCCATGTGCCTGCTCTTTCATTTTCACAGCAAGCCTGCAGAGAGGTTGCTGGCCTGTTCTGGCTTAGGAGAGGGAGCACAAGGGACTTGAGGCACCTGCCCAAGCATGTGAGGTTGGGAGAGCCCTGGGATAGCCCGGTGGCCTCACTTCTATTTTTCTAGCGAGGTGAAGCGCCGTAGGAGACTGCGGGATTCCCACCCCAGATGCCTTTCCACCCCCCACCCTCCAGGAGCAGTCGTGCCCACTCCTCAGCCTGGACCCTCCACGAGCGCACTGGGTGCTGCCTCTTCCCATCAGACGGTGCCCCCCTCCCACATCACTGGTCTTCCCTATGCTCCTGAGTTATTCCTATCAGTTGGTGAAGAGGCTGCGATGTGGCCCCATTTCTCCTTTGTAGCAGAGCTTCTTGAGAGGCATGTAAACTCCCCTTCCTTATTACTGTTTTTTAGTTATTACAATTATCAATCCAGGAAGAGTGCATAAAACACAGTTTAAAGGGCAACAGTGCATGGACGCCCCAGTGACCGCCTCCCAGAGCGAGGACCAGGGCAGGGCCAGGCCCCAGAATGACCCCTGCTACCACCTGCCATCCTTGGGTCCACGTCTTGACACTAGCCGCATCCTTCCTCTGAGTCTCTTCCAAGTAGTTTTTCCATTGATGTGTGTTCCCCTTGGCAGGATAGTCACTCATCCACTTAACAACTAAGGGTGTCTGGGCTTTGTGATTGGAGCTGCGGTGAATGACACGGAAAAGAACCCTGCCTTCTAGTGCAACACTCACCGAGGTAGCAGGATGGTGGGCAAGGGCCAGGCAGAGAGGGGGGCCCGGCTCTGCCGTGACAGCTTCGTGCTCCAGGTGATGCTCAACCCCTCTGCAGAGTCTCCCTACCTGGGAACAGGCAGACACGCTCAAGTGAGTCAATCTGTGCTAATGACTGGGAGGACCGCTCCAGGCCGTGCTTGTCTCCCTTGAGCAGAGTGTACACTGGTAAATACAGTGTGCCCAGAATATCTTCACTTCTGGTTGGGGAAGTGGGGCTGCCAGGGGAGCCAATGGGTAGCGTTTTATACAGGTCACTGCACGGGCCAGTGAAGACCTGGTGGCAGGGACCGTTTGGGAGTGAGAAACCAGAGTTCAGGTTAACAGTCCTTTGTTGTTAAGCATTTTAAGAACCTTTAAATCACCAATGATTTTCTTCTCTTTTTTGCTTTTCAGAAAAGTCAGCTATTTTTAATACAGTTCTTAGAAAGCCACTTGATGTAGATCCTTGAGATCGCCAGTTATACTTGTTAGTAATTTGGGGGATTTTTCCATTTCGTTTCAGCTCAGATCACAAAGCTGAACTCTCTGTTCTGACCGCCCTTTCGCTCATCGTGATTTTTGCACTGGTTCAGAGGAAGTGCTCCCTGACGTCAAAAGTAGCCCTGGCGCTTGGCCTGCTGGGTGTCTATTGCTACCGGGCGGCCATTGGGAATGTCCTGTTCCCATGGCAACGAGACAGCAAAGACATTTCAAAGTAAGTGTACTGGCAAATCAATTTCATGTTTTATGTACGAAAGCAGGCTATGCTGTCTTGAAAACTCTGGAGTCGGTTCCTGCAAATTGTGATCTCAGCAGTTACTAGGGCCCAAGGAGGAATGCCTCAGTGAACTGATTCTTTTAGGAGAGAGACAAATAACGCAGTAAGGTCACTGAGGTTTCTTTTTTTAAATAAAGGATTCTCTAAAAATAAGGAATTTAAAGGATTCAGTTTTGCTCAGTCAAGAAATAGTAACAGGAGTCACAAAGAGTGGATGCTTCCTAGCAGTTGGGAAAGAAAGCACAGCAGAAAAATCAGCTTTCCCACACTTTACAGTGAACTCTGCGGGTGAGGAGGGACCCCTTGTACTGATGAAGGTCATGAAGTGACCATGAAGGCCACTTTTTGTCACAAACTGGCAGGCTTCCTTTCTCTAATGGTGATGTGGGATGGTTGAGCAGAGGCCATCCTGGAGACTGTTTGTAAAACATGTTAAGAACCTTGAGTGCGTCCAGCCCTCTGACCTGGGTGCTCTCTTAAGGAATCTATCTCAGGAATGCAGCCAGACGTGAGGTCTGAAACCAGGAGACAGGCAAGCTCTCTGAGAACTTATTCACAGGTATGCATAGTACAAAGCAAGGTAATTGGCCAACAGTAGTGGGATGAGCCTCTGGGGGATGTTACAGCTTTGTGCTGACTATTGTGTTTTCATAGAAGATGTGAAGATGTGGATTGCTAGGCTATAAAACTATTGTATGAGCCCAGCTTATAAAGTAGGTACACACTTTTTTATGTTTGTGTGAAAGACTAAAATATGTAATTAGTCGCGGTTATATTTAGGGCACAGAATCACAGGTGGCTTGTGATCTTCCTTTTCATGCATTTTTTTTTTTTATTGCTTTTCTAATCAGAGAAAGGAAAGCATATGTCATCCTCTCAGAAAAGCTCAAGGTGTAAGCTGAGGGCTGTGGCCAGGCTGCGTAGGTGGCCAGGAGGCATGGGGGCACACCTGGAAGCAGGACCTGCCAGTGATATGAACAGTTGAGGTGATGCCAAGAGCCTAGCTGAGGTGACAGCAGGGTAGCAGGCAGGGAGGTCAGGTAGGGGGAGAATGGTGGGAAGACCTCTCAGAGGCTGTTCACTTTGGAGTCTAAGACTCTGGGCAAAGGGTATATTCGCAGGGGTGTTTGTTTATGTCTCAAAGTGTTGAACAGGAATAAATGCCTCATTTCCTATCAGATCCATGCACCTCTTCTCATCATCCCTCATCTCAGGACTTGGACCACGTACCGTTCATGGATGCCACAGCATATACCTTGTTGGTGTAGAACATAGGCCAATGCACCCTTTCATTAACCCACACTGCTTGTTTCACATCCTTCCCGTAAAATGCTTCCATTCCCCAGCCCCATCCACCCTGGTTCTAGTTCCCTCTCACTTGTAGATCTGCCCCAATCCTAGAGCCATCCAGGTTCTAGATTTCCCTAACAGCTGCTCCTCACTGTTTAGGCTGTGGCTCTCTAGCTTCCTTTTCACTTAACTTCTGGTTTTTCTTCTCTACTCTGATGCCCAGGCTTGACTAGAGTAGAGGCCAGATTGCCATGGTCCTAGACATGCAGGAATGGCACTGAATGGTTTAGGGGCAAGGACACAGACCCCTCGAAGGCATCCGCTGGTGTGTCTCCCCATCTCACGACTCAGGCCTTGGATGATTTCTCCTCCTTTAACCTTTGTGGGTTGGTCATCAGGTCTCGCTTAGCACACACATTGGCAATGGGGTTCCACCTGACCCTATCTCCTTGCCCAGTGCATGGCCCCGGGGCAAATGTCTACTCACTGGAGACACATCAGATAGGGGTCTCTGACTGATCGAATTAAACTATGCTTTTAAAAAATGAATTTTTTAAAGTGTATAAACCTTCCTAAGAAAATCTGAGATAGGGATCCCTGGGTGGTGCAGCGGTTTGGCGCCTGCCTTTGGCCCAGGGCGTGATCCTGGAGACCCGGGATCGAATCCCACGTCGGGCTCCCGGTGCATGGAGCCTGCTTCTCCCTCTGCCTGTGTCGCTGCTTCTCTCTCTATCTGTGTGACTATCATAAATAAATAAAAATTAAAAAAAAAAAAGAAAATCTGAGATAGGAAAATTCAGTTTTTCAAAACAGATACATTATTATGGTAATGATATCATTTAAATTTTTAATTTACTTAGCATTACTTTAAATGGTCAGCTTTTATTGTATATGTAAGATATTTGATTTATGAAATTTATTTAAAATACGTTGTAGGGCCATATGTGTTTCATAAAATGAAATTTTTTGGTAGAGCGTCACAAATTATATCCCTTACAGATAATTGTAAATGATGTTCTAAAATAATCCCTTCTTTTTAAGATTTTATTTATTTATTTATTAGAGAGAGAGAGAGAGCAAGCACACGCATGTGCACAAGCAGGCGGAGGGGCAGAGGCAGAGGGAGAAGCAGGCTCCCCACTGAGCGGGGAGCCTGACCTGGGGCCTGATCCCAGGACTCCGAGATCATGACCCAAGCCAAGCACAGACACTTCACCCGTTGAACCACCTAGGTGCCACTAAAATACTTCTTAATAATTCTTAATATTTATTGTGTGGCACACGCTTTACCTATGTTCTCTTGTTTAATTCCCAGGACAGCTTATGAAGTGTAGGTACCCTTTCTCTTCATTTCAGGAATGACGCAGTCAGCGGCAGAGCCCAGACTCACCTGGCCCTGCCGTCCCCAGGCCGCAGAGTGTGCACTGCACTGTTGTATATGTGTGAGTGTGTGTACATACACAAGGACTTACTTAAATCTGCTTGGTTGTGAACATGTCCAAGTGTATCTTAACATCATGAACTTATGGACATTTCTGACAGAACTTGCCCTTATCCTGTTGCAGTGATCTTTCAAATTAACTGTGAAGCAGGTGGACAGTTTTTCTGGCACCCTACAAGTTTTTGGCTCCAGTCTTGCGCCAGGCCATCCTTGGGCCAAATGAGCGAGATTTCCCTTAAGCCAATTCCTTCAGAGAAGTGCATACAGAGAGGACAGGCCTGCCAGCCTCTAGGCAAGGGAGGGAGGGATTTCCAAGGTGGCTGATACGCAGAAGCAGACACCCCCACTTCCACGGAGTTACCCAGATGGGCAAGCGCTGTGGCTTGTTTAGTCAGCTTAGTAGACCTGTGGTTTTCATGGGAAGAATATGTTTGAGTTTTTCAAGCTGGTGCTAATGAATCAAACTTGTTTTGTTTTTTTTTTTAGGGGTGTTATTGAAGCTCGTTTTGTTCATGTCTTTGTCCTTGGCATTCTATTCACGGGTACCAAAGACTTGCTTAAATCTCAAGTCGTTGCTACAGACGTCACAATCAAGACTGTGGGTTTATGGGAGATATATAGTGGACTAGTTCTTCTGGCCGCTTTGCTTTTTAGACCACATAATCTGCCAGTCTTAGTGTCTAGCCTCTTGATTCAAACTATAATGACTAAATTCATCTGGAAGCCCCTGAGGCATGATGCAGCTGAGATCACTATAATGCATTATTGGTTCGGTCAAGCTTTCTTCTATTTCCAGGTAGGTTTTCATTATTAATGTGGATAGAAGTCTATTAACTTTTTATATGTCATTTATCTTTTTTTGTTTGGAAAAAGTTTACCATAAGTTGAGAAGTTAAAAAGGTTGTTCAGTGAAGGAACTTTCAGTGTGGTGTGGGGAATGATGCTTAAATCTCATGTATATTTGATAGGATAATGCAGTTAGTTATTTAAGACGGACACCCTCGGAACAGACGCATACAGCATATGGTTGTGTTCTGGACCTGTTTACCATGACCTGTTAGGGACGCACTTCACAGTTCCATTGCTTTACCTGATGAGGTGATGACTGAACTCTCTCTGCCCTTTCCCCTGGCCATCAATGCCTGGTGCTGTTGGGTGTCCTCACTCGGCCAATAGTCCCTTGGGGCCCCGTGGCCATCACATCTTCTCTCCACTGTTAAAGGGCCCACCAGAGGCAAGTCCAGGCCACCTCTGGCATGGATCTCAATATTTGCCTGTGTGCTTGGACTGGTCTCAGAGGGACTCACTTCCGTCCCAGCCTTCCTGCATCTCTGCTCTGGTTCAGGGGGCCCCATCCTCAATCTAGTGGCTGCCTGTAGTACCCCCAAGGGTAGGCACAGCTCCCCACACTCCCCTGACAGCTCCCTACCCTCTGGCAGAGGAACTGTGCACGAGCCCCTGAGCATCTCAGTTGTGTCTTCCCATCTTTACAGTGAAGATCTGCACTGTCTCTGCGTGCACCAGGTCCTCCCTCCTCATTCAGACCCGGGGGACTTGGGTGGTCTGTGTGTTCCAACAGGTGGGCCTAGGGCTTCTTCCCTGCCCTCCCTACTTCTCTCCTGGTTTCTTGGCACTCCTGACCTCACCCAAAGAGCAACCGCCCTGTTCCCTGTCTGTTCCCAGAAGCCCAGAAAGAGGTTGGGGGTGGGGGGGGGGGAGTTCTAGAATTCTATAAGTCCTGGATGATATGACCTGACCATCAGCTCCTTGGCCATCACCGTGGAACATTGCCACGCCTCTCTCCCTTTTCCAGGCTCCTGGGCACTGTGCTAGACAGGGAGCATGTGTAATGAGCGCAGACACTCCTGCCCCAGGGATACATGGTCAGCCAGGGCTCCACGTGGGAGTGACCCTGGCATATGTGCAGATATGTCCTGGTGCATGTGGACTGGTCGCATGATAGACCCTGCTGGCGTGAGAGGAGACTCCTGCGGGCTCCCTTTTAGCCAAAACGGAGAAAGTGGCTGCTAGTTAGGCACCCTGGCCTGCGCTGAGGCCTTGGTGTCAGGAAGACTGACGGGGCCATGGTCATGCCCCGAGCAAGAAGACAGCCTCACGTTCAGTGTGCCCCTCTGTGGCACATTCCACAGGGAAGTGACAGGGCATCCGTGATAGCACGTGGTGCTGGCAGTTGTCGAGCGCTGTCCTCGGGCAGGTGGAACACACGTGTCCCATAGCCTCTGGTGCTCCTGCAGCAGCACCGTGGTATGTCCTGGTGATCCGTCAGCACCCAAAATCAGCACAGACCCTCGTGCATCAGGCTCTGCAGCAGGTCAGACAGTGACCAGTAGCAGTGCGGCCCCCCTTGTCTCAACCTTCCCGCAGCCCTTCCTTCATGGTCAGGTTTCCTGGGAGTTGACCCACAGGCTTGCTGCTCCTCCTCCTGCCCGCTGCTCAGGGACTCCTGATAGTACAGGGGTCAGGAGTGTGGGGCCCAGCTGGCCTCCTCTGGATCTCTCTGCCTCGGTTTTCCACCAGTTCACTGAGAGTCATAGTGGCACCACATCAGGACTGTTGAGGATTAAATGAGTTGATGCAAGTAAAGCCCCAGAGCAGGCAGCCTGTGCCTTCGCTGCCCTAACAGTATTGCACAGTCCTCTCTGTACGTGACCCAGACAGCTTCCGCTGGGGGATTTCCGGCGACTTCCCATGTCAGAACCGTTAGTGCTCATCGTGCCTTCCCGTGCTGCAGCACTTGGGACTCTTGTTCTGACCCTCCTCTCAGCAGCTCTGGGGTCACGTCTCTATCGAGGGGCTTCTACCTAGAAATAGTTATCAGGAGAGAGCCCAGGTCGCAACAGGCCAGGTGGATGAAGGGGAAGCTGCACCGTGGAGGCTGCTGTCAGAGGAGGCCCGCTGTGAGAGGGGGTGTGTCATCGAGATAGTCGAAGGTCTGCCAGCAGGACCCTGTGGCCACCTGCCTTCGTCCCCAGGCTTATATTTGTTGAGTTTCTTGAAGGTAGAAGACATTTCACTTGATCCTCCACACCCGAGAGCGAGGTGGGAGAGGAGTGGGCGGGTATTGGGGTCCCGTGTGTCCGTGTCACCATGACCACACGCAGCCCTTTGCGGTTGCCGGTGGCCGTGCCAGTGCTGCTTCCCCCTGTGTTCCAGGGAAACTCCAACAATATAGCCACGGTGGACATCTCGGCGGGCTTCGTGGGCCTGGACACCTACATAGAAGCCCCGGCTGTGTTCCTGACAGCGTTTGCCACGTTTGCAGGGCCCGTGCTGTGGGCCAGCCACTTAGTGAGCTTCCTGAGCTCGGAAACCAGCAGGTGAAGCTCCTCCTTTGTCTTTCAGCATAAAATCTGACGGCAGGTTGGCAATTTGAAGAGAGCATCTCATTGCAGATGCAGGGTTCCAAACCCCAAGGGCCTGAGGTTTTGAACAATTTTCTTTTCCTTAAATAAGAGTGAACCATCCACAGCATGTGGTTCAAAGGCGAGTTCAAGTGTGGGTCTGTGGCCAACCTGTGTGGGGACGGCTGGGGAGGCTGTGGAGGGTAGCCAGCTTCTGGTGCGATCTTCCAGCTCGTGCCAGGACGTGGTTTCCAGGGGCTTAGGGAGGAACAGCCCTTCTTGGTTTCTCTGCTTGCTGGTGGCCCGGTTGGGGGGCAGGGAGGTGTCTTCCGCTTGGGACATGAAGACAAGACATGCTGGCCCTCACCTCCAGCATTCCTGCTGCTGAGAGGCCCCCTCAGGCCCCACGTGGTCCCTCACCCCTCTGGCCAGCCCACAACCTCCTCTCCCACCTCAGGAAGATGCCCCTGACCACTGGGGCAGCCCACCCCACCCTCCTGCCCATCGTGCTCCTTCCTCAGTGCTTTCTTATGTATGCCCGGGTCCTCCTGGAGAGGGAGCTTCACAAGCAGAAGCCTCGCAGTGTTGATAACCCCGGTGCCCGGGTCCAGCCTGGCTGAGCGTGGCCTGAGTGCTGTGTGGGGCTGTCTGATGCTGCACTTTCCAAATAGGCCTCGGATTTCCCTTCTGTGAAATGGAGTGAGGGTGGTGCCTCCTAGGTTGTGCGGCCCACATCAGGAGCCCGACAGGTGCTGGAGGTGGGGTGAGCAACCGTGCAGTCTGTCAGGGTGCCCACAGGCGTAGCCTCCCTTCTGGACGCCAGCACCTTGCTCAGCCCTAGGAGGACGCTGTTCCTGCTGAATGTCCCACTGTGTCCCAAGTCCTCCAGGGGGTGCCGCCTAAGGGAGGTCGAGGCTCCCTGTCCCTGTTACCCCACTGATTCCCTATTAAAAATGCAGCCCTTGCTGTGGTGCCTGTTGGCCCCATGTTAGAAACTCCCGGGACATGTTCAGCCCCCACCTCTCAGGAGAGCACTTGGGGGTCCTCCTGTTCTTTGTGGATTCTTCTCGTCCTCCCCCCAGTCCAGCTCCTGAGACCCAAGCTTCAGTGACCCTGGACTCCTGCCCCAAGCTCATGGCCACAGGCCACCATCTTCTCCCATTCCGCAGTTACATAAGGGGCAAAAGGGAGTGTAGGTGTGAGTGGGGTGACACTCTCAAGTCAAAGTTTAGAGCAAGAAAGTGAGTAAAGGCTTCAGCTGTGCAGACCCAGGCTTCCTGCTCTAGAGACTTTCTGGGCTCCCCTCCACATTGCCATGGTTGCCAGCTTCTCAAATGTGGGGGTCCCTTCTCTCGTGCTGCTTTTCCTGAGGATGAGGGAGATGCCTGTAAGTCACTGTGCCTTCCTCGGCTGCACGCTTTGGGACCACCTGTAGGTAGATTCCTCTTAGAGTCACTGTTGGTCTGGGGGTCAGCAGAGGGATGTTCAGGCTCTCATTCCACCTGTGAACCCGTGTGGGCTGCAAGACCAGCACTGAGCCGTTGGTTCTGTCACTAGCAAGCCCCTTGATGTCTCTGTGACTGAGGTGGGGTCGGGTTGGGAGGCCTCTGTCCTCATCAGTGCCATCCTGTACTGGGGACTCAGGGGGCCACGAACTGGCAAGGCGCACTCCCTTCTTCCTCGGGGAGCTTATCTGCCGCAGTGCACTTGACTCTGCTGAGCACACCCTGTCTGCGGCCTGAGGTGAGCTGCATGAATGGGCCGGGGAGCATGAGGGCCAGACCGTGAGAGAGAGCCTGGGCTTCTGTGAAGAGCAGCTTCCCTGACTTTCCTGGCAGTTTTCATCTGTTTATGTTGGGGAGAAAAAAAGACAAAGCATTTTTTTTAAGTAAGCTAAAAGCATTTTAACTGGCTGTGGAGTATTATATGATGTTTTCCCTAATTAAGGAATGCTTCTTTTTTTACTTTAGAAAGGGGTTTTCTTTTTCTTTTTTTAAAGTTTAAGACATCAAGTTTTACTTGCTTTTGGGGTGCTTTTTGAAATCAAGAGAGAAAACTAGAGCCAGACTAAAATGGTAGAAAAAAAAATATTTTAATGGCTCAAATATTGGGCCCTGAGTGGTCCATGACCCTTGGCTTCAGGAACTGGCTTTGGATCTGGAGCTGGTGGTATGGATAGCCATGCTGAGCCAGACCGCATGGCCTTCATCCATTCCCCTACAGTGCACGCTGTTCTTTGCTGAGGTTGTGGGAGTGGTGACCCTACTGGGTGCTGTTATAGAAGGAAGAAGCCAGAGTCTTCTAAATAGGTGATATTCACTATGTGTGAAATTGAAGTACAAGGAGGGGCAGGGTCATGGGAGCTCTACCTCCCTCGCTGGTCAAGAAGGGAGCAAGGTCAGCAGGCTCTTGGCTGAGCACAGACTCCATGACACTCCCAGGAAAGGGGTAGCACAGCCATAAGCCACAAGTATTCATCCATGAAGCTTTTCCCAGGAGTTTCCCTCACCAAGTATTGGAGCAGCGACCCTTGAGGAAATTAATAAAGTCATACCTCAGGACCCCAGCTCCCTGGAGGTCCTCTGCCTGATGGATTGGATCTTGAGAGAGACCCAAGGAACTCAAGGACTGGTGGCCGTAGCAGAGGCATGAGTCAGTTATGTGCTGAGAAGGTCACAAAGATGAGGTCAGAATGGCTGAGCCCCTGAGTCTGCTGGAGGTACTCAGGGTGGCCTCCCAGAGAAGAGCCTGTGGGTAGGAGTAATCACAGCCATTCAAGGGAGCCAGAGAGGAGCACAGGCAAAAGGACGAGGGTACAGGATGATGTGCAAGTAGAAGCAAGCAACATATGTTGCCTGCCAGGGGGCGATGGGCAGCCAGAGAACCCAGCACAAAGGAAGGATGGGCACCAGGGCCCAAGATGAGGAGCCAGTTAGGGCAGGGTGAGGGTGTAGAGAGGGCAAGAGCTGTGAGCATGAGGGGCCAGGCCTCCTTTGGGCCTTGAGTGGCTGCTCAAGGTCCACCTTTTGCTGGACAGTGAGTACGCCAAGGGGAGTCTTACAGTGGCACCAGCAGTGGCACTGGGTCACTGGACCTGAGGAGCTCCTTTGTGGAGCATGTGTGCACACCCACACGCACACTCACTGCTCCACCTCAGGGTCTTTGCTTCCCTACACGGAACTCCTCATTGCTCACCCTTCCTGTCCAGACCCTGCCCGGTGTGAGCGTGGCGCCACCAAGACTCCCCTGAGCACACAGACCATCCACTCTGGTGGATATGCTTGCTCCCCACCCCCGGGGCCCCATACACGGCTGTGCTGATGTGTCTCCTGCACAGGGAGCATGGCTGCCCGTGTGATGGGGGTCGTGCTTCCGGAAGTGTGGGCAGCGGTGACCAGTGGCATGGACTGGCCCCAGAAAGGGGCTCATCGTCACAGTGTTTGAGGGAAGGCCTCAGAACTGGAACTTGGCTTTTACCAGAACCTGGAAGCCTATCCTCTGAGGATTTGTGAGGTGAATGAGCAGCAAAAGATGGCAGATAATAGAACTTGTCATTTTGGAATAAGCACGGTCTCAGGAAACTTCCTTAAAGAATAGGTTAGGTTTATATAATGATCATGTTGACTGTTTGAAAAGAAAGGGAGGACAAGCATGTGCTTTGAGGGCCTGCTCAAGTTTGAGAATGCGCTTCTTCGCCGCAAACACTCTTGGGCCAGTATCCCCAGGCTAGACCCAGCAGATGATCCATGGACAGCACAAACTCTGTATCTCATCCTGTGTGATTTTCTTTTCATAATATTTGTGATGTGTTATATAGTAGTACATGCACATAATTTTTAAACATAACTATGTAAAATTTGGGGGTGCAGTTTTCAAAAATATTTTGCAGGTTGTAGCACTGGAGAGTGTAACAAGGCAGGTGCCTGCAGCTCTCGTCCCCTCGGCTAGGCTCCTACCCGCCAGACTCATCAGATCCAGGTTGGGGAGGGGGGTGTCTCAGGAACAAAAGTTACCATGGTCATTTTCAAAATAAAAATAGTGGTTACGTGTGTGTTTGTGCCTTATATGATGCAAAAATGGCATATACTAATACATATTTCCCTTTTTATTAACAGCGGCTCTGCACTGAGTCATGCTTGCTTCTGCTATGCACTGATCTGTTCTTTTCCAGTCTCTGCATATATCATTTTGGTGACGTCCCTGCGTTACCATTTATTTATATGGAGCGTGTTTTCTCCAAAACTTCTTTATGAGGGAATGCACATCCTCATTACAGCTGCCATCTGTGTATTCTTCACAGCCATGGATCAAACCAACACAAAGTCTTAGACACTGGAAAAACAATATATTTTTAAGTCTACTATTCAGTTCATGCATTTGAGTAATGGGAAAAAAAATCTGTTTAAATGCAAGAACATTCTAAAGAAAAATTGTGGATTCTACAAAGTTGAAGAATAGCTTTCACTGCTGTACTTGAATTTAGATTAAATAGTGATTTAAAAGGTCACTTTAAAATACTTAGTTTGAGGGACACCTCAGTGGCTCAGTGGTTGAGCTTCTGTCTTTGGCTCAGAGTGTGACCCCAGGGTCCCAGGATCGAGTCCCGCATTGGGCTCCCTGCAGGGAGCCTGCTTCTTCTCCCTCTGCCTATGTCTCTGCCTCTCTCTGTGTGTGTGTCTCTCATGAATAAGTAAATAAAATCTTTTTAAAAATAAAGTAACACATTTAGTTTGAATATGAATCATTACCCTGTTGACCATCACTCCATAAGGTTTTAAACTTTTAATTTTCTATGGATAAGTTAACGATTTGACTCAAATATGTGTGTTTAAATTGATGGATAAAAAGGTCTCAGGTTTATTGTGGTGTTTGTGGACTTAAGAGAACCTGGGAACTCCATGGAAGGAGGCTTGCCTGTGGCCAGGGTTTTACCTTGCAGAGCTTAGACCTCATGATGACCCTAGAAACCACTGGAGGTCCCAGGGAGCTTTGGTTAGGGTGTATTACATCTGTCAACGTTAAGGCATTTCAAAAACTATTCATTGAAAGTAGATACAAACCCATTTCATCCTAACAAAGCATATTTTTAAGAAAAATAACTTTTCTAAAACAAAAATAAGTATGGAGGAGAGTGGCTTTATTTTACATTTTTGTACATCTCTTTAGTGTTGCGATTGAGGATGGTTAGGTTCTGCATTCAATCTGTTGTCATGTGTGTGAAGTTGTCACACAGATACGTAATTGGGAAGGGGAAGAATATTTTATTTTTTTATTTATATTCAGTTAATTAACACCCAGTGCTCGTGACATCATGTGCCCTCCCTCCTCAATGCCCAATCACCCAGTTACTCCAGGCCCCAACACCCGTCTCCCTTCCAGTGACCCTCAGTTTGTCTCCTATGATTAAGAGTCTCGTATGGTTTGTTTCCCTCTCTGATGGAAGGAAGGAATATTTTTAAATCCTCTTTCTAATCATTGTTGATGTTCTTTCTGAGTCTGTACCAAAACACGACAAATGATGGTTCTTTAATAGTTAATTGGAGAAAAAGCAAATGCATGTAAAATAGGTGAAGCCCTGTTAAGGTCTGCACCTGAGGTAACAGAATTACCTGGCTGATGAGTTCTGTGTCTGTATAAGATCTTGTTGGAGGGAGCTGGGTGAACTGTACGTGGATCTTCCTGTACAATTTTTGCAACTTCTTGTGAAATTTAAACCATTTGAAAATAAAAGCTATTTTAAAAAGGAAAAAAATAGTTTCAGTGTGGAATCTGAAACTGTGTCAGTGAACTTTTGTGTGTTCTTCTTTATTAAAATCCTAACCTGTTACCCAGGTAGGATTCTATAGTATGTGAAAATAACACTTCTTCGGGTTAATGTAAGTCTTCCAGATGTTGACAACATGCAGCATTCAGCACCAAAAATCAGTTGTCACATTGCCAACAGTCTCCTGAGAAAAATCTTTCAACGTTGGAAGCTCTCGGTGGCAGATGCAAGTTTTCCAAAACTCTCTAACTTACATCTTTTCACTTACATAATGATTTGATAATTGTATGTATTGCAAAATGGTCACCACTATCAATCTAGTTAACATCCATCACCACACAGTTAACAATTTTTTCCTGTGATGATAACTTTTAGGATATGCTCTGTTAGCAACTTTGTAACATATAATGTAGCATCTTAAACTATAGTCCCCGAGCTGCACATTATATCCCCAGGACTTAGTTTATAACTGGAAGTCTATCCCTTTTGACCCCCATCACCCATTTCACCCACCCTCCACCTCTGCCTCTGGCAATCACCAGTCTATTTCCTGGATCAATGAGCTTGGTTTTTTGTTTACATTTCACATAGAAGTGAGATCATACAGTACTTGTGTTTCTCTCTCTTATTTCACTTAGTATAATGCCCTCAGGATCCATCTCTATTGTCACAAATGGCAAGATTATCTTCTCTTTTGTGCCTGAGTAATATTCTGTGTGTGTGTATGTGCGTGTGTGTGTGTATGTGTGTGTGACGTTTTCCATATCCATCCATCACTGGACACTTAGTTTGTCTTTATATCTTGGTGTTGTAAATAATGCTGCTATGAACATGGGGGTGCAGATATCTTTCTGAGTTAGTGCTTTTGTTTCCCTCAGATAAATACCCAGAAGTGCAACTGGTGTGTTATACAGTAGTTCTATTTTTAACTTTTTGAGGAACCTCCCTATCATTTTCATAGTGGCCCCACCAATTTAAATTCCCACCAACTGCACAAGGGTTCCCTTTCTCCACATCCTCATCAGCACCTTTGTTATTTCTTGTCATCTTGATAGGAGAGTATTGCCTAATGTACAATATTTAATATTTAATTTAAAAATATTTAAGATTTCTTTTATCTTCCTAAAATTGCTTTTTCTAGTTATAGGACATGTCCCACTTAATAATCCCTTCTGGGGATCCCTGGGTGGCGCAGCGATTTAGTGCCTGCCTTTGGCCCAGGGCGCGATCCTGGAGACCCGGGATCGAATCCCACGTCGGGCTCCTGGTGCATGGAGCCTGCTTCTCCCTCTGCCTATGTCTCTGCCTCTCTCTCTCTCTCTCTGTGTGTGTGTGTGTGACTATCATAAATAAAAATAAAAATTAAAAAAAATAAAAATAAAAATAAAAAATAATAATCCATTCTGAAAATCCATTGTTTCATGCTAAAACACTAACTGGGGATCCATTTTCCATTGTTTTAAATAGAAAACTATGGGAATGCAGTTCATGTCCTACCCAAGCCCTCAACCAGTTCCCTACAATGTAACCACACATAACAAAATGTCTACATGTAAGTGCCAAACTATCATGTTAGGGAGCAAAATGCTTAAAACTGGTTCCTCACCACCAAATAGTTAATATGGTCATGAAGCAACAGTTTCTCTTCTTTTTTCCTAGCTTTTTTTCTTTTTAAGATTTTATTTATTTATTTATTCATGAGAGACACACGGAGATAGAGAGAGAGAGGCAGAGACACAGGCAGAGGGAGAAACAGGCTCCATGCAGGGAAGCTGATGTGGGACTCAATCCCGGGACTCCAGGATCACGCCCTGGGCAGAAGGCAGGCACCAAACCACTGAGCCACCCAGGGATCCCCCTCATCCTAGCTTTTTAAAACAGAAACTTAGAATCATTTTAAGTCCGCTTTCCTCTCCAATATAAGCATTTAAAGCTATAAATCTCCCTGTATTATTTTCACTATTTTTACAAATTTTCATATGTTGCATCTTTATTATCATTCAGCGTGAAATATTTCCTGCTTCACTTTTATGGCTTAGCAGTTGACTCATCTTGAACAGTCCGTGTGGCAATAGGGGAGAAAAAAATGTAGATTCAGCAATTGTTTGATGTGATGTCCTAAAACTATTAGGTCAAAGTACTTGTTATCAACCAGACCTACATCCCACTAATTTTTTTCTACTTATTCTTTCAATTACCAAAAGGATATCTAAAATTTCCAACTCTAATTGTGGATTTATGTGTTTCTCAATTCTGTTAGTTTTTGCTTCCTGTAAGCAAATACACCATACACTAATAATGAAGTAGCAAAAAGGTAAATTATGAAAGCAATTCCAAAGAAAGAAAGAAAGAAAGAAAAAGAAGAAAGAAGAAAAAAAAGAAAGAAAGAAAGAAAGAAAGAAAGAAAGAAAGAAAGAAAGAAAGAGAAAAAGAAAGAAAAAACAATTCCATTTCCAAATGTACCAAAAAATAATAAAATACCCTTAAGTAAATTTAACCAGGGAGGTGAAAGACCTGTACTCGAAGAACTATAAGACATTGATAAAGTAAAAACAACACAAACAAATGGAAATATATACCATGCTCATGGATCAAAACAATACTGTTAAAATGTCCATATTACCCCACACACACACACACACCCTCAATTCTACAGATTTAATGCAATTCCTAAGAAAATACCAATTGTATTTTTCACAGAACTAGACCAAATAATCCTCAGATTTGTATAGGACCACAAAAGACCTCAAATAGCCAAAGCAATTTTAAGAAAGAACAAAGCTGGAATTACCACAATCCCAGATTCTCAAATATATTACAAAGCTATAGTAATCAAAAGAGTATGGTCCTGGCTCAGACATAGACACATAGATCAACAGAACAGGATAGAGAGGTTAGAAGTAAACTGAAGTTTATATGGTCAATTGATGTATCACAAAGGAGGCTAGATTATACAATTGGGAAAAGATATCTATTGTCTCTTCAATAGATGGTATTGGGAAAACCAGACAGCTGCATACAAAAAAAAGAAAAAGAAAAAAACAGGACCACTTCCTTAAACCATACACAAAAATAAACCCCAAATGGATTAAGAACCTAAATATGAGACCTAAAACCATAAAACTCCCAGAGGAGAACATAGGCAATAATTTCTTTATCAGCTGTAGCAGCATTTCTCAGATATGCTCTCAGCATATCAGGATGCGTCTTCTCAGGCAAAAGAAAAAGGCAAAAATAAACTATGGGGACTGCACCAAATGAGCTTTTGCCCAGTGAAGGAAACCAACAAAAAGGCAAGCTACTGAATGGGAGAAGATATTTGCAAATGATGTATCTGTTAAGGGATTAACATCCAAAATATATAAAGAACTCATACAACTCAATACCAAAAAATATTTTTTTTATTTTTTTCTAAAATATTTGTTTATTTAAGAGAGAGAGTGCATGGGGTGGGGGTGGGGGGATGGCCAGAGCATAGGGCCTGACACAGGGCTCAATCTCATGACCCTGAGATCACAACCAGAACTGAAACCAAGAGTCAGGCGCCTAACTGATTGTACCACCAGGTGCTTCCCACCTCCCCACCAAAAAATATTTTAAAATGAGCGGTGGACTTGAACAGACATTTTTGCAAAGCAAAATGCATTTTGAAATATAGATGGCCATCAGACACATGACAACATTGCTAATCAGAGGGAAATGCGAATCAAAACCACAATGAGATGTCACCTTACACCAGTCAAAATGGTTAAAATAAGAAAGACAAGAAATAACAAGTGTTGGTCAGGATGTGGAGAAAAGAGAACTCTCATGCACTATTGCTGGAATTGATAATTGATGCAAGTACTATGAAAAATATGGAGTTTCCTCAAAAAAATTAAAAACAGAAATACCATATAGTCCAATAATTCCATTCCTGGGCATTTACCCAAAGGAAAAAAGAAATCCAAAAATTT